AGCGGTGGCAGAGCATCAACGCTGCCTTTTGCTGCATACGCGAGAAGATGGAATTGTACTCGTGCCACGTGGAGTCGCTGGCATTTATCAAACTCTCTAACTCGCGATCTACACTCTTTTGGCAGCCTTTGTACAGGTAACTGAAAAGATGCCCCATCGTCCTGAAGTCATTCACGCAGGTGTTGTCATCTCTCCAAACCTTCAGCAAATAAATCAATGGTAGTGGGTAGAGAAGGTAGACTTGTTTCTTATAATCCAGAGACATGCTGAAGCGTTTGCAAATACTGTCCACTGTCGAGTCGCGGGGGAAAGCGCTAGCCAGTGCATTGCAGGAGAACTGACGTACCTCGGCCTCGGTAAATGGGAGAAGTTCGGTAGATTGAAACGTAGTCTTGCGATTCCGTAACATTTGCTGGATCGCTGGGGTAATTGGCGTCCGGCAAGTGACGATTACTTTGTTCTTTCCAAGCTTTCTCACCAGTTCGTTCAAGGCTGCTTCGCATTCATTGGAAAATTCTGTGTCAACATCAAGCACGAAAAGAGTATTCACTTTACTGAGGCAGACAAAGGGATCGTCAAACAACAGGCACCCAGGCAAGACTTCATTTCTGATGTAAGTGGCGTAGGAATTTCGCACAACTTCACTAGAAGGGAGAAAGAGCACAATATCAAACTCTAGAATGTCTTCGAATACCGGAGTGTCAGATAAGAAATTTTGGAAAATTTGATGACCTAGAACTGTTTTGCCAGAGCCAGAAGGACCTGAAATGAGGAGAACTGGGTCCGCATACTGGACGATTTTTTCATTGATGATGCACTGGTCGGATTCGGCCATTGCTATCCGTGCATGCACTTCTTGCGATTTTAGTTTCTTTAATTGTTTCCCACCACTCAAAACCCATGCGCTTGTATTAAAAGTTTCATTAGATACTTTTTGCACATTGGCTTCTATGGCCTTCCGGCTTTTCGCATGCAAAATTCCCATCACATTCTTACTCAATGAATCAAGTTTTCTGATGCCCACCATCATGTCGTTGGGGAGAATACAATCCTTCTCGATTCTCATGAGTACATTACGGAGGTTCTGTAAGGTTCTTCGTGAAACCAAGTCCTGATAGAGTTCTTCAAGAACTTTGATTTTCTTTCGAAGTTTGTCTCTTTTGAGGGTTTTTTCTTTGATGCCATTCCTTGTCGTATGAATTTTACTAGAGAGATTGTCTTTTCTTCTAAGAGTATTTCGGGTGTTGCGCTCGGGGTCATGATGTTCGCCTTGCTGCAACTGAGAAATCTCTTCAGTAATGAGACATACCGCGTGAGTCATGGGTATTTGCGACAGGTCTTCCTCCATGCTCTTCAGCGACGAATTATCTTCGGAAACTTTACGAGACAGTTTACCGTCTTCTTCGTGAAGGTAGCAAAGTTCTTTTTCGATGAGCGAGTGACAAAAAGCTTTTGTTTGCTCGTGAACTTTGTCCATACGAATTACCAGCAAGTCCAAACTCAATCGTTGAATGGGTTCATGGCATATTACGTAGTTGAAATGTTTGAGTTCTCTAAAATGTTTCTTCAAGGCGGGTGGCCAAGTCGTGGATGCAGTTAAGGAAAAGCTGGATTCGATCATCTTTTCGATTTCTTCAAGGAACGGCAACACGACTTGTTCATAGGCCACCAGGAGAAGCACTCGCTTCTCGTTCTCAACCACGGCTGACACGCGCACCGTCATCGTGATTTAAAATTCCGGAAACCAAAGTTTGGAAGATTCTAGATGAGGAGGAAAGTCCATGCAAAATTTCTCACTCAGTTTTGTTTTCAGATTCTCCAGATAATAAGATTTTGTTGCTGCATTTCATTATAATCTATCACAAACACGTATTTTCGCAACATAACGTTTTGTTCTGCATCTATAACCGGATATAATTGTGAAAACACCGACTACATTATTTGCTATTAGTATTCTGAAAAATATAAAATTGAAATTACGATAATCGCACATCGCGGCATACAGGGGCAAAGAACATAACTTTCTATACAACATTGAAAATCTCACTCGGTATTTTCGAATTGTCTGATTGCATGAAAGCGTAGCAAATTTATTTCGTACTGGGGCCATGCTTTCAAAAATCGTTACGAGCTCCTAATTCCGTCAGCCAATCACTGACGGCTTTCCAAGTTAAACCCACCAATCACAGATGAAAAATCGACCACTACGTGTACTTAGGCCATTAAGTGTACTCAAGTGAGATTTGATTGTAAGGCCTCTGCCCTTCATTGGGATCGGAGCGACACTCGTGTTCCGGACACTCAGGAAGAGCTTCACTCACTATCTCGACGCCCGCCTTCACCACACTATTTCATACCCTGACTACACTTACTATATACACATGCCTTATCTGCAGATTTTACTCTTATCAGTTAGTTGCTTGCTTTCGGTGGAGATAAGGAAGTAAATAACGCATTAGTAACTTATTAAATTCAGGTTTTGCTTTATTTCGAATAAGCTTTAGAGTATTTCGATGATATATGAAAACATATGAAATCGAATTAAATCGGAGGAGTGAATTTGGAGATCGGGTGTCTGACATAATTAAGTTAAATAGATTTAAACGGTTGTCAAGAAGTTTTACAAGAGATTGTAAATTGTGTAACAAATCTGCACTTCGGTTCTATTCGTGTATCTCAATTTGCTCAATTGATCGGAATTCCTGAGGTTTGTGTTTAAAGTGAACCTCCTCCACATATATTGCTCAGGGTAACGCTCAAAGATTAAATTGTAATAATTTCGAATTTGTTATGCCCAATATCATTTTCTAGCCGGGAAATATACACGTAAAAGCCAACTTTTTATTCCGGACTTTAGCTTATTCCTGAACAGCCTTTATAGAAAATAAATTGAATGAAAAAACAAATATTCAAGAGAATACCTATTCGACACCTTATTATGTTTCCGATGATAATCACTGTACAGAAATATTACACATCACCCTGCATATTTCACTGCGGCAAGCGCACTAAAAAACATAATAATTCGATGGCCATTCATTACGAACACTAAAATCACTGCCCATAAGTGTATAATTTCCACAAATGAATTTCCTCGGCATCCAAAAAATAACAAGAAGTTTCTGATGAAATCTAATAACATCACCGCGAGTAACAGAGACTTTAAACGAACATATGCGCCTAGTGAAACAGCAGACGCAATATGAAGCTGTACGTAATGCACACATCGATATCACTAAGAGTTTTGCGATCTGATAGCGATGTAAGAGTGTGATAGCCAGGTGCACATCACACGCATCACCGCCCACTACACGATAGCTTTTTTTCATTGTTAAGTCAAGTAATGACACAGAACACGACGCTTTAGTTACTTGACTAGCCATGGAGTGATGTTCGCGCGAGACAAAAATGTTATCATGCGATGACAGAAGTCAAAGGCTGGCGACGGCAGACATGATTTCAGGAACGGCGCCTGAAGTCCTTTTGATATGAGATTTTTTATTTATTTTTTTATATATTTTATTTCTGATTTTTTAACGATGAGATCGCATATTAATAATTTCAATGAATTATTTGTGGGAATGAGTAAACCTGACCTGAACAAAGGAACGACTGTTCATCCACGTAATCCGGAAGATATTTTATCCTCTATTAAAAATGATTTTCTGTTGGAAAGTAGCGAACAAAATAATTCTACAAGGGGTGTGAGTCATTTTTTCCCTGCTACATCTTTCCTGAAACATCATGATCATATAACACTTTACATATTATTTATCACGGTGCCTCGATCAATACACGTTCATTACGAGTGTAGTTAATTTAAGCCTGACCTGAATTAAAATTAAACTGATCCATCCTCTAGTCATGAATATTAATTTTCCTGACCTATATCAGGATAATTTGATATAAATAGCCCTGGATAACTCATACTCGAAACGAATTTCCCGACTCAAGTATTCCAAAGTAACCTCATTAAGTGTTTGACCGGAATGCGATCACGGACGTCGTACACTTCGAGGAAGTATAAATAGGTTTGAGTGTTTGAATAATTGGGTATAAACACAGGAATCATTGGGTATAAACGCAGGAATCATTGGGTATAAACGCAGGAATCATTGGGTATAAACACAGGAATCATTGGGTATAAACACAGGAATGATTGGGTATAAACACAGGATTCATTGGGTATAAACACAGGAATAATTGCGTATAAACACAGGAATCATTGGGTATAAACAAGGGAATCATAGGGTATAAACACAGGAATCATTGGGTATAAACTTAAACATGCTTCAAGCAACTGCGTTCATTGAAGAAATCAACCAATAGTTTGCATTGGTTATCGATGACCTGATGTCACAATCACTGCGTTCATTGACAATATCTTGGCGGCGGCAGATATAAAATGTTCATAACTCTTGCAATAGATATTACCTATTGAATCATTAGTTGTTCACTTTTGTTTGTACCTCATGCTTTATCTGTCAAAACACTGTCTAGTGAAAGTATCGCTGTTCATTCTTACGAGCTTGGCGAGTGCTACTGGTCCAAAACTAAATTTAATTCAGTGCTCCAACTAAAATGACAGAAACAATCTTCTGCCAAAAACACAAGTTTACTGTCAAAACAAATGTTCTGCAGCAGATATTTAACATGGTAATAACATTAATTGTCGCTGTCCTTATCGGCCATAAATTGAAGCACATAGATATCGTATAAGGCAGACGCAGCAAGAAAAAAATTAGGTTATTGCGCTGGTGTCTCGGCTGCGTAATTTCGATACGATTTTACTGGCTGCACTCATACGAACAGCACGAATAAGTTCGGCTGCATTCATACGAACAGCACGAATAAGATCGGCNCACTCACACGAGTGCCCGCCACTCCCGCCACTCACACGAGTGCCCGCCACTCACACGAGTGCCCGCCACTCGCACCACTCACACGAGTGCCCGCCACTCCCGCTACTCACACGAGTGCCCGCCACTCCCGCCACTCACATGTATGACGGTGGTGCCACCAGGAGTGTCCTCGTGCACCGCCATGTAGTAAGCGTCCTCGCCGAACTCAGGGCTGTGGTCGTTCACGTCGCCGACGTACACGACGACCTGACACAGGCTCGACAGCGGCGGCGTACCCAGGTCTGTTGCCTGCACCAGAACAATTACGACTTTAAACATCCTTAAATGGGTCACGTCAAACATCCTAAACTGGGTCAAGTCAAACATCCTAAACTGGGTCATCCAAAACAATTACAACTTCAAACATCCTTAACTGAGTAATTTCAAACACCTAAACTGGGTCATTCAAAAGAATCACAACTTCAAATATCCTAAACTGGGTCATGTCAAACATCCTGAACTGGGTCATATCAAACATCCTAAAATGGGTCATGTCAAACATCTTAAACTGGGTCATGTCAAACATCTTAAACTGGGTCATGTCAAACATCCTAAACTGGGTCATGTCAAACATCCTAAATCTGGGTTATGTCAAACATCTTAAACTGGGTCATGTCAAACATCCTAAACTGGGTCATGTCAAACATCCTAAACTGGGTCATGTCAAACATCCTAATCTGGGTCATGTCAAACATCATAAAATGGATAATCAATCACAACTTTAAACATCCTACATAGAGGAAAATGATTGGGTAATTTTTCCAAATAATGACCGAATTTTTCACCCCCACATCACGAGCCACGAGAGGCGAAGCACTGAGACGGGCAAAAATAGGTTGCGATGACTCACATAAGAGCAAAAAGTGCATCGTGATTTGGACAAGACCCTCGAATTTATCTGAGTGTACGAATATAATATCATCCTTATAACATATTTTTTTATATCTATGCGATCATAATAATGTGATTCGTAAGACCTCCGCCTACGGAGATATTATCAGGTCAATTACCTCTACTAATAATGAACTTAATCGATATTGGTCCTTATTAGACACATAATTGGTCCTGTATTAAACACGTGAAAAAAAACTTAATCCATGATAGCATTAGCCTTAAGTAAAAGCACAAATTAAGCATGTAACTATACCTATGAGATTAATTTTAATCTTAAATCCCTCGATAGTAGCGTACTGCCAGGGCCGTCGATAAGGGAAATCCAGCAAAGTTGGTCTTTTTATACTTCAAAAATAATTTACTAAAACATCAAACATATGAAAACTGCCAATTTTTCATATATCATTTCAATATTAACTTGTGTGATTGGGGAAAGAGATAAATCAATTTATTATCGAATTATTCTAATTTAAAATTCCACATCGGGGTTGAATCCCGGTTATAAAGAACACTTGCATGGTCGAATAAAATTGTGACCTACTTATGGCAATTGTGACCTACTTATGGCAATTGTGACCTACTTATGGCAATTGTGACCTACTTATGGCAATTGTGACCTACTTGTGGCAATTGTGACCTACTTGTGGCAATTGTGACCTACTTATGGCAATTGTGACCTACTTATGGCAATTGTTATCTACTTGTGGCAATTGTTATCTACTTATGACAATTGTGACCTACTTATAGCAATGGTGACCTACTTATGGCAATTGTGACCTACTTATAGCAATGGTGACCTACTTATGGCAAATGTGACCTACTTATGGCAATTGTTACCTACTTATAGCAATTGTGACCTACTTATGGCAATTGTGACCCACTTATGACCTACTTATGACGCACTGATAACCCGATTACAACCCCACCTTGACGGTGAGGTTGAAGAAGCGAAGAGATCCCTCAGGTTTGAGCCTCTCGTAGTCGAGGGGACCTGAGGGTCGCAGCTCTCCCCTCACGGCGTCCAGAGTGAAGTTCTGCTGAGGGTCGCCACCCACCAGGCTGTAGCGAACCTCGTGGTTCACCGTACCTAATTGGCGCGAACCAAAGTCAAGGTTTTTATTTTTCCACTGTTTAATTTAGGATTTAATTGACTTCCTAATGCTAATTGATTTCCTAATAATTGATTTAATAATTGAAATTAATTAGTTTAAGTGTCGCCGCCCATTAGGCTGTAGCCCACCTCGCGGTTCACCGTACCTAATTAACGTGAACCAAAATCCAGGTTTGCATTATTTTAATTGTTTAATTTATGGTTGCTAATTGATTTCCTAATAATTGATTTTATCCCTAATTGGCGCGAACGAAAGTCGAGGATTGCATTATTTTTACTGCTAGATTTATGATTTAATTGACTTCCTAATGCTAATTGATTTCCAAATATTTGATTTAATCCCGAATTGACGAGAACGAAAGTCGAGGTTTGCATTATTTTCACTGTTTAATTTAGGATTGCTAATTGGTTTCCTAATAATTGATTTAATAATTGCTAAAAATTGATTTAATTGTTATATTCAACAGAAAATAAAACCCAGGTGATTAAGTGTGCATAGTAATGCGCAAGCAGTAGATTTCATTACTTCGAGAATTTGATTTAGACTTTGAATTGTCATATTAATCAAAAATGAATATCCGGGTGATCGGTAGAAAAGTGAGATACACATAGAAGATGGTATTAAAATAACATTATTTTAACTGTTTGATTTAAAATTTGAATTGTAAAATTCAACAGAAATTTACATATTAGTGATGCAAAAGGGAATGTTCATGTAATAGAGTTATTAACATGAAAGAAAATAATATGCATGAGAATAGAAGAATACGTTATATTATTAATAACCATGTATCGCTCGACGATTCTTTGATAAGAAATATTGTGTCTTAATATAAAAGAATCATGACGATTCAAGCAAGTAAAATTCAACATGCATCGGAAAAATACCATAAAAATATTAATATTATTAATATTGATATATATTTTTATTTTTTTATATCAATATTATATATTAATTTTATATTAATATATATAATATATCATATATTAATATAAAATTGTTATATTATTATTAATAAATACCATAAATATAAAAAGACGCAATAATATTGATTAATTGCCCACCATTAGCATCAGCGTCGCGCGCCACGACTACGAGCGGCACTGAAAAGTCCGGCGAGTTTTCGTCAATTTTTGCCTCGTAGCCGCGCTCGCTGAACACCGGCGCGTTGTCGTTCACGTCCACGATGATCACGTGAACGCCCACGGTGTTCCTGCGATACAGACAGTAGCGTTCAATAATCAGGAAATTATCGTTCAAGTATCATTAAATTATCATGAAACTATCATTCCGTTATCATTCGATTATCATTCAATTATCGTTCAAGTATAATTCAATTATCTTTCCACTGTAATTAAATTAGCATTCAAGTATAATTCAATTATCATTCAAGTTTAATCCAATTATCGTTCAATTATTATTATATTATCACCCAATTATTATCGTTCAATTATTATTCAATTATCGTTCAATTTATAATCAAATTATAATCATTCAATTATCATTCATTTTCCGCTCATTGCAGGAGAATATCTAGACGTGCATATATATTTATTTAATTAGCTCGTTTATAATTAAAGAAATTTATGTAATAAAAATACTTAAGCAGAAATAGCAGTAATTTTGACAAGCAGTTGCAATATTGGACACATGACCAGGGATTTGAAAGGCATCGCCAGCTGGCCCGTAAAATCGACAACTGCATTTCTACACTTAACAGATATTTTTTATTCATGATAAATTGGTAAAAGGTTGTAAAAAGAAACTTGACTAGGGAGTTGAACGGAATTGCCAGGTGGTTCGAAAAATTGATAACTGCATTTCTTCAACAATGAGATATTTATTCATTTATTCAACATAAAGTCGTTAAAGGTTGTAAAAAGAAACTTGACTAGGGAGTTGAACGGAATTGCAAGGTGGTTCGAAAAATCGATAACTGCATTTCTTCATTATAGTGATATTTATTACTCAAAATGAAGTCGTAAAAGAAAAATCAATAACTGCATTTCTTCACTAAATGGATATTTATTCATGATAAAATCGTAAAATATTGTGAAAAAACACACCTGTTACCGTGTCCATTGTCATCCCGCACCTCCACGGTAACGAAAAAGTCGCTCACTTCTTCCCTGTCCAGCACGGCGGCCTCCTTCAGACGTAACGCTCCTGTTACAGCGTCCAGGGATAGCCTGGTGGCAACACTTGACAATTATTATGAATATTATGTATTATAATATAATATAGTGTAATATAATATAATATAATATAATATACTGTTGCGAATGCTTTTTTCGATTTATATTTAAAGTTCATTTAACATTTTCCGTCAGATCTAACTGATCAACGGGAAATGTTAAAGCCAAAACTTATCAAGTTGGCTTTATGTTTGGCTAATAAAAAATGAGGTAATTTGAATAAGTAAAATATGTTTACAGTGTACCGGTATATGCATAAAAATGCAGAATTAGATACTGAAGCAGATCAAGCAGCCCGGGAAGCACAAAGAAGCAACAAGATAGTAGCACAGATAAGATAATATTTGATTCCGAGAAACGAATACGGTACTTCGTTCGTTTCTTGCTCGTTTCACAGCTCGAGTGTGACTCACGAAGACGTTCGTTGTCGAATCTTTGACCCACTTTTGATCGAACTTTCGATGAATTAACAAACGTCGGAGAGTAAAAATGAATGCGTGAAAATTCACATCATGAATAACATTCTGAAAATACAAATCTCATTCAATGATCGATCAATTAATAGCAGATTAGTAATTTCAGTTGTTAATAGTACTTAATGATCGAATATAGTAATTTCCTTCATTAATCGCACAATTAATAATTGAACAGTAATCTCGTTAACCAATCGTTCTGTTGATAATCGAATGGAAATGTCTTTCATTACATTAATCGTTCTATTAATAATCGAATAGCAATCTCATTAATTAATCTAACCCCCGGCGACAACTGTTTCCGTAATAAGTTTATTATTGATTAGGTTCGCTTATTATGTTTTTATTTATTATTATACTTTTATTTTCATTTATTAATATTTTTGAGATCAATTTTCATATTATTTAATCCTTTAAGACAGATTACATCAGTCCATTAATTTCTACACTCTTTATAAATTTTCGCTACGATTTGAAACGTTTGAAAGAAAATTCTGAGCCGAAACACCATTTAAATTTTTCTAAAATTTAAAAACAAATGAAAATCAAAGAAAATTAATTATTTTTTCCTCAATGAGAAAAATGTGAATTTATAGGACATTTTATTAAATTTTCAATAATTTATTAATTTTTGATTGATACAATTAAATGATATATTTACTTGAATCATTGAAAAATATCTGCGCATCATCATGGATAAATGTGCTAGAGTGAGTGCATATCCTGACCGTGAAACCTGATAAAAAGGATTCCAATCATAATGAATAAGACGCAGCAGTTTATGCAGATTCATTATTATAGTGTACAAAATATGAAAATTTAGAGATAAGCGATCATAAATCAATTAGAAGGACACAAAGAAATGATCCATGGAGGAAACGATGACGTGGCTTGGACGATAACTTGCAATGGTCATTTATTAAGTCATATTTCATATCGGAAAGCGAGTAGAATTACAAAAGAAACAAGGCTAGACTTTAAACAATGATATATGGACTCTAAATTACATAGGCAAAAGAAAAAGTCATATAACAACGAATAGCTTACGGTTATTAATAATAATAACACGAAAATTCTTTGTTATTTATCACGCACTAAATTGAGCCTATAAATCACGTGTTACAGAATGAATAATGACCCAGCACATGCCGCTGTTTATCTTTAGTGATTCCAACATAGAGATCATTGTTAATTTAAATGTTGATAATCTCTACTTAGCAATTCATGATCTTTGTTGATAATCTCTACTTAGCAATTCATGATCTTTGTTGATGATCTCTGCTTAGCAATTGATGGCCTTTGTTAATGATCTCTACTTAGCAATTAATGGTCTTTGTTAATGATCTCTGCTTAACAATTAATGATCTTTGTTAATGATCTCTTCTTATCAATTAATGATCTTTGTTAATGATCTCTACTTAGCAGTTAATGATATTTGTTAAGGATCTCTGCTTAGCAATTCGTGATCTTTGTTGATAATCTCTGCTTAGCAATTGATGGCCTTTGTTATTCATCTCTGCTTGGCAGTTAATGATCTTTGTTAATGATCTCTGCTTAGCAATTAATGATCTTTGTTAATGATCTCTACTTAGCAATTCATGATCTTTGTTGATGATCCCTGCTAAGCAATTAATGATCTTTGTTAATGATCTCTACTTAGCAATTAATGGTCTTTGTTAATGATCTCTACCTGTCTCTTATACACATCTAGATGTGTATAAGAGACAGCGCCCGCACATGACGTGTAATCAACATCAAATGCTATGTCAACGCCCGCACATGACGTATAATCAACATCAAAGGCTATGTCAACACCCGCACATGACGTGTAATCAACATGAAATGCTATGTCAATCAACCAATTAATCTGCACATGACGTCATGTTTAGATTTAAAGTTTCATGTTATTCGGAAATCTGTTTGCTGTGAGCGCTGGTGCCATACTTTCAAAACTCGCTAAGTGAACGTAAGTATTTACGCTCTATTTTCTTGTCCATGATTGGTGGATTTTGCTTGAAAGGCCGTCAATGATTGGTTGATGAACTTACGATCTCTTAACTTTTATTGAAAGTATGGCCCCTGGTCATTATAAATTTTACGTACCCAGTCCTTGTCTTCGACGATTATCAAGTTCTAGGGCCAGGAAGAAAGATCAATCGTTTAAGAAGCGTCGTATTTGTTACAAGTATCATTTTATCTAGTTGTAATATTTCAACACTAATAATCATCTATGGTATCCAAGTCAACATTAATTGTTGTAACTAACGCTAGTTAATAGGCAGTAAGCAGCCAACATCACAGCGTGGATGCCTCATTAAGTATGTGTTCATCGTATGGTTTTTTAGAAATTTATTATGATACTCAACACCTGACACAATATAATATACTATCTTTATAAAGCCACTGCCACAGTTTATTTTTATTACGTACTAAAAAAAACAATTTGATCAATAACCTCCTGGAAAGCAACATCCTCCAATAAGGAAAACAATATCCTGCAATAAGGAAAACATCATCCAATAATGAAAGCAATATCCTGCAATAAGGAAAGCAATATCCTCCAATAAGGAAAACAATATCCTGCAATAAGGAAAGCAATATCCTCCAATAAGGAAAACAATATCCTGCAATAAGGAAAGCAATATCCTGCAACAAAAAAAAAAACAATATCAAAACAATATTTACAACAATTAAAGCAACAACCTCCAATGCAGAAAACAATATCCTGCAATAAGGAAAACAATGTCCTGCAGTTACGAAAACCATATTTACCAACAATTAAAGCAACATCCTCACTCCATAACATATCCCATGCATTATCCCCGTACCTGATCGTTGTCGTAGACCTCAGGTATAGCGTCGCCGATGAAGTTGACGGGCATGTTGAACTGCGACGACTCGCTGACCTCGGCGACGTAATGTGACGCTCGGAACTGCGGCGTCTGGTCGTTAACATCAGTCAGCACGACGGTGACCTCAGTCGTGCTGCTGGGTGCCGGTGACACCACACTGCTCACTTCCTCAGCCTGGGTGTTAGGACATGGGTGTTAGGGTATGGGTGTTAGGGTATGGGTGTTAGGGTATGGGTGTTAGGGCATGGGTGTTAGGGCATGGGTGTTAGGGCATGGGTGTTAGGGGCATGGGTGTTAGGGGCATGGGTGTTAGGGGCATGTTAAAAAGCCGATAATAGTTAATATAAGACGGCACGCAAGTTAAAAAGCCGATAATAGTTAATATAAGACGGCATGCACGTTAAAAAGCCAATAATAGTTGATATAAAACGGCACGCAAGTTAAAAAGCCGATAATAGTTACTTGCGTGGGGCCGAACTATTAAAAATCCAGTTAAGTACAGTTAGTGGCCGAGGTAAACGTAACGGCCTTGATTCACAAAACGGCCTAATACACGTAGAGGCCAAATTAAGTAAAGGAAGCGGTCTAAGTAAACTAAAGGTAGCAGCGACCTAAGTAAAGGTAGCGGCCTACGTAAACGTAGCGGCCGAAGTAAAGCAGCGACCTAAGTAAACGTAGCAGCCTAAGTAGACGTAGTGACCTAAGTAAAGGTAGCGGCCTAAGTAAAGCAGCGACCTAAGTAAAGGTAGCGGCCAAGGTAGGCGTAGCAGCCTAATTGAGCTTAACAGCCTACATACTTCGCGGCTGATTTCTCGTCTGTGCTTGGTTGGTTAAGCTTAAAAAGCCGTCAGTGATTGGCTCACAAAGTTACAAACTCAAAAGAATTTTTTAAGGCACAACCCCTGAATTCTTAATCATCACCAGAGGAAAAACTAAATTGAAAACCCTTTTGAAAGTCATTAAGAAAAAAAAGTCATGAGACTTCAAAAATGATTGAATTAGTTATTCTAGATTTCCTCAGATAACATTACCTTCTATCAAATGCAAATATTAAAAAGTGGCTGATAAGTTCTTTACAATTACAACCCCTAAATAAGATAAGAAGGCGGGGGAGGAGGGGCTTTAAGTTATATAAATTAAGAAAGTCATATATGTTAAGAGTTAGCACACTCCATCACACTCGTGCGCAAGATTAGCAAGATAAGATAGATTACGAGAATTTCCACAGAACTGTCTCGTACGTGAATTAAATGTAACAAAATTAACAGAGTGGCCTTGACACAGAGTCATTTGAGCGACGGCGGTGTTATTAGAATAACTTATACGAATTGCGTTGGTGATGATGACTCGCATCATCACCAACGCAATTCGCAATTCGCATCGCAAGGCAGCACAACAAACTGTGGTCAACAACAAACTGTAACAACAAATCAACAGTCACTGCAGAAACGCTGCAACATACTTAGATGGTTTCCATCAATGGATCAACATTGATCCAAAACATGCAGTACAATCCAGTCCCACAACCCACACAGTCCCAGCGAGTCCCACGACCCAAATACAATCTCAGAAAGTCCAACAACCCACACAGTCCCAGACAGTCTCACAACCTATACAGTCCCAGCCAGTCTTATGACCCCACACAGTCCTAAGCAGTCCTGTAGGCAGTCTCACAACCCCCACAGTCTCGACCAGTCATACGGCCCGCACAATCCTAGCAAGTCCCACAACTCACAATGCTCAACAAGTCCCACAATCCCCAATGTCCAGCATTTCCCACAAGCCAATCAGTCCCAGCCAGTTCCACGACCTACACAGTCCCAGCAATTCCCACAACCCAGGCATTCCCAGCGAGTCAATTAATCAGCCCAGTCCCAGAGAGTCCCACCTCATACATGTCCCGCTCGAAGATTGGGACGTTGTCATTGGTGTCCCTGATGTAGACGCTCACGAGACACGAGGAGGACTTGGGTCTGTCGGGGACGGTCTCGCGAGCCACAAGCGTGAAGTTCACCACTGCAAACAGAAACAATAAACACAATAATTATTAGTTCATCACTACAAACGCGATATTAATCTTTTTTTCAATCATTGCAAATACAAAAGGAAATGCACAATAATCTTTCGTTCCTCAACACAAATATGAAATCAATTCCCAATAATCTTATTAGTTTATCACTCCAAACGCGATTTTAATGCATATTAATCTTTTGTCAATCATTGCAAATACAAAATGAAATTCTCAATAATCGCTCGTTCTTCAATAGATACGAAATCAATTCTCAATAATCTTTAGTTCTTAACAGCAGAGACAAAATCAAACACACAATACGTTTAACTTCATCACTAAAAACGTGATACCGAGTTCACAATATTTACTATCATATCTTTAAAAACATGATATTTAACTATATTGATATTTAAACTTTAAATTTAACTTTCAAAAATACGAGTATTTTATGCACGAAACTTACGAAACCAAATAATTCTGTAAAATATTTAGTTATTTGATCTGCTAACCCTTGTTACCTGCCACGGCTTGCCAACCAAATCGTCAACCAAACTAAACCTAGCTATAATCAACGAGTTGCAAAACCAAGAGATTTCCCAGTTCTACACTCCCTATACGTTGGCCAGTAAATCTTGACGTAAAACATCAGGTGGCAATACACTCGTAACAATACCCGGGTCAGCCCGGGTTACCGAACATACACTTTATACAACCCATACAATCACAATAACACTGTATACAATTCATCCAATCACCATACACACTTTATACAATTCATTCAATCACAACAAACATATTGTACACATCACTATACACACTTCATACCATCACAATGCACACTTTATACACTCTATACACTTCATACACATCACTATACACACTTCATACAATCACCATACACACTCTATACACTTCATACACATCACAACACACACTATACATTTCATACACATCACAACACACACTCTATACACTTCATACACATTTTATACACTCTATACACTCCATACAATGACTATACACGTTCATCACACATCCCTGACCCTGCAGACGCTCGTAGTCGAGGAGGGCAGGGTCGCGAACCCTGACGAGGAACGAGGCGAGGTTGATGCCCTCGTGGGGGGTGACGTCGAACACGCCCCCCGCCCCCTCCACCTCCAGCCGGAACGTCCCGTTAACACCCTGATGGTGATCATGGTTATGGTGATCATTGTTATGGTGATCATTGTTATGATGATCATTGNGGTTATGGTGATGAATATTGTGGTTATGGTGATGATTATGGTGGTTATGGTGATGATTATTGTGGTTATGGTGATTATTGTGGTTATGGTGATGATTATTGTGGTTATGGTGATGATTATGGTGGTTATGGTGATGAATATTGTGGTTATGGTGATGATTATGGTGGTTATGGTGATGATTATTGTGGTTATGGTGATTATTGTGGTTATGGTGATTATTGTGGTTATGGTGATGATTATGGTGGTTATGGTGATGATTATTGTGGTTATGGTGATGATTATTGTAGTTATGGTGATCATTGTTATGGTTATGGTGATCATTGGTATGGTGGTTATGGTGATGATTATTGTGGTTATGGTAATGATTATTATGGTAACGGTGATGATTATAATGGTAATGGTGATGATTATTTTCACGATAGTGATATTCACAATGATAATAATGATCGTCGTAACGGTGATGGTGACAATACTCAAAATGATAGTGATAATTATCATGATAATGTTAATGACGATTAAGGGTTTATCATCTTAATCAGAATCTAATATAACATAACCATGCATTTATATATTTCATCTGAATTATTTTCTCTCAGCGTCTGAGTACATAATACTGAATTTTCACTTTTTTTATTTAACAAAAGAATTTTTTTTAACACGTAAGGTAAAGCACGTGTCATCCTCTCATCTTAGCTATGATTCATGTTCATACGAAATAAATCTATAACTATCGGCATTGTTTGAACTGTCAAGAGAACTTTTCAGATATTAATATAAGTTTAGCTTATCGTAAAAATAATGTAGGTTGGATGCGCCATCAATCACATTGACACTCGGGATTGCCCACACATCGCGATAACACAAAATTTTAATTGATTCCACCGCTGACACCACAAAAACAATCACGAATGTACTATAGATGATGTAAACATCTGGGACAAAGTATTATCTTAGTATCCTTAGTATATGTGTCATACGTAGCAGTCCCAGGCCACGATGGATACATCGTGCATCTAGTACATCATCTAGTACGGTACGAATTTTCATAATATAATAATAACATATATTATAGCGAGGTTTGAATATTTATAGTTTTAACCATTCAAGTCTGAATAATAATAACAGCAGTGGTTTCAGCGTTTACTAAGCCATAGGCCTGTCGCCGATTCTTAACATCACTGAACATTCACAGCTTGTTGCCGTCCCGAACATGCAACTCACTGTTTCAATTCTACTCTGCTAAACCGCCCGGCCTCCTTGCCGATTCTGACCAGAAACTGGCGCACAGAGCTGGGATCGAACCCGCACCTCTCTGCGCCAATCCTGGTACTCTGAACTGTAACCACTGGGCCATCCCAGTGGATGTACTACATGTACTAGATGATGTAGTAGAAATTTGGATCAAATTGGAAATGGTTCATTTACTTTTGAAATTAATAGAGGCTGAAAAATAAATTAGGTTGGTATTCGAAACTTAGTGAAGCGTCGATCCAGAGTTGGTCTAATCACAACAAATTACGAGAAAAAATATTGTGCAAAATAATTCAATATATTCACTTAAAGTTATCGTATAAAAAATGCGTTCGTAGTGTGGCGGTATGAACAATAATATTTAATTTTATCTCAACAGCTCGTATTATCTATCGACCTAGCCAAACATGACAATAAAAACTCATTGCAATTTCAGAGAAAGAAGCTATTGCGCTAAAGTGTATATTTCCAAGAATTTATAGATATAGAATCAAAGGTTAACATAAGTATATTTTAAATTTCATGATTAACTGAAACTGAAAGACATGTCAGTAAAAGTTGGCCGCTATGAAAATGAGTCATCGCTGATTTTAAAGCAAAGTAGAACCATGGATATAAATGCAATGATTCAGAATTAGAAGGAAATTGACGCTGTCTGACGTCAGAACAACTTATCTCTGATAAAGATTTTAAATAATCTATTTATCCCTTGCATCCTAAGCGCTTTTTACGTACATATGTGGAAGACTTCATGTTCACGCACCAACGCTTGTTTGAGTGGCACCTTACCTTCATATAAACATCAGATGCGTTATGATAAATAAATCAATAATTTAATAATAAATGAATAATTATTAATTGATAATAATTTGTGATACTAAATACGCTTAAGATGTTTTTCATTGTTTTCCTTGTTTTTATTGAAATCAAAATTCATAGTCGACATTTAAAAAAGCTTGTTTCCTGTCCTTTGAAAATTTTTCAACGTTAGAAAAAGAAATAACTAATGAAAGTAAAGGAAATAAAGAAATAACTAAGCATTTCAAAAAGCTAGAAGATTTTGATTTAGTTTGTGAACAAAAAATATCCTGCCAAGGAAGATCCTACCTTAATTGTGTACAAAACAGGACCAGTCGTCACTATAGTTAGAGAATAGGAAAGAAATGACTGAGAAAACACACTATAGAATGCAAGTAGCCTTATAAGGGGGGCTTTTTGCCTTTAAACTAACAGCAGACTTTATTGAAATTTTTGAACTAACAGCTGCATTTTTTCAATTTTTTTGAACTAACAGCTGACTTTTTTTTTATTTCTGAACTAACAGCTGCATTTATTAAATTTTTGAAGTAACAGCTGCCTTTTTTGAAAATTTTGAACTAACAGCTGACTTTTTTTTAATTTTTTTAACTAACAGCTGACTTTTGAAATTTTTAAACTAACAGCTGCCTTTTTTGAAATTTTTGAACCAACAGCTGATTTTTTAGCTCATTTTCTCATTTATGAAAAAATGCCCTATTGTGCTCGCCATGTCCGTCTGTCTGTCCGTCCGTGACTTCACGTTTTCGTCGACGAGAAAATGAGCTCTCTGTCACTCACTGAAGTAAGTACTGAGTTATATTTTCTTTAATTTCCGAACTAACAGCTAACAAAATTTTCGAAGTAACAGCTGCCAACAGTTTTTGCCTTTGAACTTTGAACTCTTTTGTGGGATACTAAAGCAGTTTATAGCCACGAGGATCAGACATCGACGCGTGAATCACGACGATTCTTCGCAAGGCATTAACATACATGCATTAACATGACTAAAAATTAGCAGGTTAGTTTTATCTGAACGTAAATAATATAGGACAAAAAACTAAACGCAAATAAGGACGAGTGTATTAATTAAAAAAACTGATTTTCAAAACAGAAATTTCGATCAGTCCATCCGTTCAGAGAGGCAACAACAACAAAAAATATAACTCAGTACTCACTGCAGTGAGTGACAGAGAGTGCATTTCTTAGGTCGACGAAAACTTGAGGTCACGGACAGACGGACGGACATGACGAGCACAATAGCGCCTTTTTTTCCGTAAATGAGAAAATACGCTAAAGAGAAATATATATTAATGAAAAATAAACACCTAGATGATTCGCTTGTTACAATATCTCGTAAATTCGTACCTATAATATTCAAACACGTATAAATTAATGATTTAGTACGAATAATTTAGCGAGTAATTAGATGAAGCCTAAAACGAGTTTAGGCTTCATCCAGTTATCGCCAAGTTTTGTTTATTCTGCGAATTGCGAATTCAGGTGCGAATTTTCAGGTTTAAAAATAAATGGTATTATTGAAAATGACGATCGTTATTAGAATATTGGAGAGATATGAATGTGGATCGAAATTTCTGCATCTTTTCATTGTCATTCATTTGGATAATTTCGATTAATTTATTAATTCTAATATGCGAGAACATAGCGGGAAGATATAATTATTTAGATACCTATTATCACAAAACTAATACCAATTATAAAGATTTCTTAAAGCGACTCAATTAAAAGACTCTGCAAGAATTGTAAATTTTTAGGAAGTGATGCCGAAGAATAAAACAATATTTTGTAATAACAGAGAAAATCAATTCATTGAAATACTTCGAATTCTCAGTTATTCATGTGAAATAATAATAAATATAAATTTTGCTTCAAAAAAGGTTGTAGACTTCTTCATTATTTTGGTTGCATTGGAATAATTGTAGTAACTTTTACGGCTTTGATCATTTCAAAAGGACCAAAGACGGCAGAACGTAATGTTTTAAGCTAGCAAATACTAGATCTACTTGGGAAGTTAAAACAAGCAAGAAGCCGCGTAAATTTTGATCCAAACTCTGAATAAACGGAGTATTTTCGGTATTAAAAATTTCAATTACTCGGTAATGCAAACCTAATCATAAATGAAATATTCAACTGCAAGTGAATTAAATAATACGATCTAGGTGTTCTCACAGATCAATTACTAAATTTTATTCGAATTTAAGGGTGGGTTTATTTTTTTTAAATAATCTATTTTCGGCATTCAAAATTCCAATTACACGGTAAAGCAAACCTACTCAGAAGTGAAATATTCAATTGCAAGTGAATTAAATAATACGATCTAAGTGTTAACATCGATCGATTGCTAAATTTAATTTAAATTTGACGGTGAGTCTATTTTTTAAAAATACTCATGTGAAAAAGTAAAAACGCAAGCGAATTTTTAAAGCAAATTTCTAAAGGCCAGCATAAACGACACACGCTGACAATTTAATAAAACAATCTATGGCGTCACTCAGACAAAATAATATATTGGAGATAAATATAACAGTTTAGATTACGAGAATTTACGCACGAAACTCAAGTGTTGATGTAATAAAGATAAGTGGCGCGTGCGCAGGCGCCTATATTATATGCGACGAGACAGAAGCTGTAAAATTTCTGCTCTAAAAATATTGTCACTTAGAATATCTTCTCTGCAGTGTTATGTGTAATAATAAAAAATAATGGTGAAAATAAGGTGAAATAATAAAAGATGCTAATAACACGTATCTCAAGCCGCAGACCGCGACTTAACTTTTACATTTCTTGAAATAAAATATAACAATTTTCTTGCATATTTAAAACAATAATGGAAGCATTAAATACTCGGGTATTGCCTTTGGAACTGTATATATCGTGAAAAATTATTCGAGAACGATGAATTTACGTTTTTGTTTCTTAAACGGTTAAAAATATCAGTTTCAAACCGTTCAATTCATGACGTCTCTATGTGTACATATTTAAAGCAAAAAAAATGGAATACATATTCGCAGTGAGAGATAAGGTGAAGTCTCTTAACCTTGTCGACACCCGAATAATCCCCTCTGTAAATCCCGGCCTTATTCTTCAAACGTTCCTCAGTTGCTGAAGGGACATAACAAGCGCTGCCGTCAACTAACAATAAATCATGCATTGAATATATCAATAAATTCATTGCAGATGACGACATGAGACAGCCAGCAGGACTGTATAAATCCCCACGCATGATATGAATGACGTTGTAAAAAAAGCGCTAAGCAACTGGCCAGTTGAGGAAAATCAGCATGCATTGTATATATGGAGACGGTGGACTGTAGAACAAATTTCGATTCTATAAAAAAACTGCATCGCGTGTTTTAAAGTTCTATTGTAACTTAAAAGTACTGCATCACGCACCGTAGTTTGTGCTTCAATTTCAATGTACTGTAACATGTTACTGGTAGACATGTCACAATATCAACATATTGCGCCAAGTGACAGTAGTTGTACTGCAATATCAACATATTGCATCACGTGACAGTAGTTGTACTTGCAATATCAACATATTGCACCACGTGACAGTAGTTGTACTGCAATATCAACATATTGCATCAATAATCGGTGCAGTAATCAAAGGGTTATAAGTATCAATCAAATCTTACTATTAGTATTAGTAATGTAAAAATCCAAATTTTGATCAATGAATTGCATCATTGATTCAGAAAATATATTATAAATGCATTCATCATTATGATATATCATTAAGTAATGCTTAATAGGTTCCCAGTTATTCAAAGAATAAATGGGAATAACGCATTTAATACATTAAAGCTATTCAATTAATTTCCTGAACGACATGCGTTATAAAACGCAAATTAAATAAAAAAGATAGCGAGGTCCAAAGGTCGCATTGATCATTTTAAAGTTTAATTTATCTAAACTGATAACATGCACCTCTATAAGCAAGCACATAATATATCTCACTATCAAACTTTTTTTAGATAAAGGATCAATTTCTTTATTAATTAAACGGGATTTGGGATTTATATTAGTGCCAATAAGTGAGCGCAAAGTGGCGTTATTACTGCAACACGAGCCTGTTCACTAATCCTTACAAATCCGGGCACTTAGCAGGAGATTAGCACTTCAACACGTCGTAAATCTTACGGTATGAAGCAATTTGCGTAATCGAAAAACTAGAAATGACTCAAGCAAGCAAATTAGAGATGATTCAAGCATTATCTGCCTTGCAAGAATTGTCATAATGAACATAATTGCTATACTAATCAGCAATTTTTAATAAACGAAATATCTTTTAATATACGAGTGTATCTACCAGTATAATGACGTGTTGCATAGTTATAAAATAATCAAGTTAGCTCAGTGATAATTGATAAACTTATCGAGATTAATTGAATAATCGTGTTAGAGAAGTAATTGTGAAGATTATCAATATTTATTTTATAATTCCGTAATATATTACAATTTTATCAGGAGCATCAATATTTATTTTATAATTATCTAATATATTAAAGTTTTATCAATGTACTGACATGTTACATCGTGAATCCGAAAATCAAGACAATACTTTCATCATCATTTGATTTTTTAATATTCAAAATGACTCATTGCCCAATTTCAGCCCAAATGAACATTGACACAAGTAGAGAATAAGAAGTAGTTAAGCCTAGTATTAACTAACTAGCGTACAGTGTCTATGGAATACTATATTTACTACTCAAATCGATCAATTCTACCAACAAAGCGATTTTTGAAGTCAGCATCGCGCACAGCAAAAAGATATCGAAATAATGAATTTATATTCCAGTAAAATTATTCCGTTTATTCAGATTTAGATTGGGAAATTGTTGCGGTATTGAGCATTTATCGATTTTTTGAATCAACGTGATAAATATTTAAAAAAAGGATTGTTCTTTGAAGATATAGAGCATTATTTGAGCTCATATACTGTAGATACCTGTTCTAATGTCCCAAACAGTTTGCATGAGCATGGAGTTGAAGAGTTGAAAATAAATTTCAAAACCCCAATCCAGATGACTTAAACAGATGGAAGGTTGTGTAAATGAACACGCATGATCGCGTATCTAGTTGAAATGTTATGTAAGCCTCCATGTATGATGTTGTATTTACTGTATATGAAATATTATGTAAGCCTACACGAACGTACGATGTTGTATTTAGATGAAATGCTATGTCAACGCCCGCACATGAGGTGTAATCAACATCAAATGCTATGTCAACGCCTGCACATGACTTTTAATCAACATCAAATGCTACGTCAACGCCCGCACATGACGTATAATCAACATCAAATGCTATGTCAACGCCCGCACATGACGTATAATCAACATCAAAAGCTATGTCAACGCCCGCACATGACGTGTAATCAACATCAAATGCTATGTCAACGCCCGCACATGACGTATAATCANTGTTAGGGGCATGGGTGTTAGGGGCATGGGTGTCAAGGCATGGGTGTCATTTGCCTCTCACTCACAATTTACTCTTCATATTTCAAGTTTCTAACCATCACTGAGTCACCTACACCCTTCCATAGTTCCTCACGGACTTACCTATACATTTGTATTAATTTTTAATACCCACACATTTTTATTAAGGTACTGATTTACTTACTCATTTGCACCTTTCCCCACCTGAACTATTTGCCAATAATTACGCCTATACTATTCCGTTTTGCTTCATTTCGTATTGGAACTTAACATTTTAACAGGGAACTTAATTCACTAATATGGAATTTAATAGTACGACATGAGTGAACCTTAACCAGTAGGCTAAAACAAAATTGCGGATAAATATAATATAATAAAATGCAATATAATATAATATAATTTATTATAATATAATATAATACAATATAATACAAGATAATATTATATAATGTAAAACAATATAATACTATACTATAATACCATATAACATAATATACTATAATAAACATAATATAATACAATACAATATACTATAATGTAATACAATATAACCCCTGTAGCCGGCACTCACGCGTATGCGTATGAAGAAAGCCTCGCCAGTAGCGCCGTCCCGCTCCCTGTCCAGCGGCTGGGCGACGTACAGGACGCCGGAGTCCGCGTCCAGGCCGAAGAAACCGTCGCCGCCGTCCAGCAGGCTGTACCTGATGCGGTTGTCCACGCCCCTGTCGCCGTCCACGGCCTTCACTGCACGTACAATTATATGGGTTAATCTAGTGGGTCATTATTACCCTAATAGAGATCATTATTACCCTGATAGAGATCATTATTACCCTAATAGAGATCATTATTACCCTAATAGAGAGAAGTCCTGCACACAACAATCAATGGGTTCACTGCACGTACAAATATTAGTGGGTCAATCTAGCGGGTCATTATTACCCAAAGAGATCATTATTACCCTAATAGAGATCATTATTACCCTAATAGAGATCATTATTACCCTGATAGAGAGAAGTCCTCCACACATGAAATAATGGGTTATTAAGCAAGTCATTATTACCCTAATAGAGAGAAGTATTCAGCACAGCAGTCTATGGGTTCACTGCACGCATAAATATTAATGGGTTATTTAGTGGGTCATTAATCCCCAAATAGAGAAAAGAGAATTCGCAATATAGACAAATATAAATATTATTAGTTCAATATTTGATTTATGAAAGTCATGCAATCAATAAATGAATCTACACGGCCTTCACTGCACGCACAAATATTAATGGGTTAATCTAGTGGGTCACTACCCTAACAAAATTTAGAGTCGCCCCAGCTTCTGGTAATCCAAATCAGAAGCTGCCGCGTCTGTAAATTTTTACTGGAAAGAACTCCTACCCTAACAAAATTTAGAGTCGCCCCAGCTTCTGGTAATCCAAATCAGAAGCTGCCGCGTCTGTAAATTTTTACTGGGTATTACCCTAATAGAGAGAAGTTTTCAACACAACAATCAATGGGTTATTTAGTGAGCCATTATTACCCTAATAGAGATCATTATTACCCTGATAGAGAGAAGTCCTCCGCACAACAATTTATGGGTAATCTAGTGGGTCATTATTACCCTAATAGAGATCATTATTACCCTGATAGAGAGAAGTCCCGCGCACAACAATTAATGGGTTAATCTAGTGGGTCATTATTACGCTAATAGAGAGAAGTCCTCCGCACAACAATTAATGGGTTATTTAGTGAAACATTATTACCCTAATAGAGAGAAGTCCCCAATTCAATTGCATAAAATAAGTTCAAATACATTATAGACAAATATGAGTTCTTATATTATCAGTCTGCTTATATCGCAAGTTCACAAGGAATTTAAAAGCACAGTAAACACCAAGCAAATTCACCATATCGATATTGAAAACGTTTCGGAGTCCAGCTTCATCATCAGTTCGAAAAACTAAAAATTAATAAAATCAAATTATTACATGGCAATGAATGCCGTGTAAGCAATAAATGAATCTATAGGATTATGAATATCATCACTAGAATATTAAGGATAATGCCGCTAGCTAGCAGGACGCCGTCGTTGACAGGGATGTCCTCAGGTGTCCTGGTGACGTTACCTTGCAGGACGCCGGCGTTGACAGGGATGTCCTCAGGTGTCCTGGTGACGTTACCTTGTAGGACGCCGGCGTTGACAGGGATGTCCTCAGGTGTCCTGGCGACGTTACCTTGCAGGACGCCGGCGTTGACAGGGATGTCCTCAGGTATCCTGGTGACGTTACCTTGCAGGACGCCTAGGGTTATGAGGGGTGTTAGGGTTATGAGGGGTGTTAGGGTTATGAGGGGTGTTAGGGTTATGAGGGGTGTTAGGGTTATGAGGGGGTGTGTTAAGGTTATGAGGGGGTGTTAGGGTTATGAAGGGGCGTATTAGGGTTATGAGGGGGCGGTGTTAAGGGTTATGTGGGAGGGGGGTTATGATATGATGGTTACGTTACTCATGTTACCAGATAATATGGATCTTCTCCATAGCCTTGTCGATACTCGCCCAATTAACGGCCGCCTCGGCATTGGTCATATTAAATAACATTTTTAAAGCGGGTAATGAATTAGTGGACAGGGAAAGTAACGGACGAAAGTTTATGGTCTATGTAGACCGCGTTCACCTTAAGCTGGTAGATATTATTGATCTATACCACAGGCATATAGGTACTATAATGGACGACAGTTTATGGTCTATGTAGACCATGTTCACCTTAAGCTGGTAGATATTCTTGTTCTATATCACAGAAATAGGTACTATAATGGACGACAGTTTATGGTCTATGTAGACCATGTTCACCTTAAGCTGGTAGATATTTTTAGTCTCGTAGTCGAGTGTTCCAGTGAGCTTCAGCACAGCTTTACTGCCGACAGTATTAACACTGAACACTCGCTCGTCTCCCTGGTCACCCGACAGCGCGTATACCACCTGTTGGAAAGAGGGTGAGAATGAGAAGAAATCATATAAATACAGCTAGCAAATTGTTATACGTACCTATATGACATATAGGTACAGCTAGTAAATTGTTATATATGTCAGATAAATACAGTCAGCAAATTCTTATAGGTATATATGTCATATAGGTACAGCCAGCAAATTGTTATATATGTCATATAGATACAGCCAGCAAATTGTTATATATATCATATAGATACAGCCAGCAAATTGTTATATATGTCATATAGATACAGCCAGCAAATTGTTATATATGTCATATAGATACAGCCAACAAATTGTTATAGATACGGATTATAAATTTTGATGTCAAAGATCACACAAAAAAGTTGCTTGTATAACTTTCTATTTGATCACACACGATTTATTCACACTAAGCATCATACGATTTATTGCTTGTGTACAAGGTTGGTTGAGAGTCCGTTTATAGGAATCCTTGTTCATCCATAAGACCATAAGCTGAATAATCAGACCCTACGCCGCACTTTAGTCCACAGGGAAAGTAGCTTATTTCTCGGTCCCTTCATTGCCTATAAGCACACTAATCTGATAAGAATAGAATAGAAGTGTCGGCGTTGAAGAAATAGGCCCATGGCCTGTTGCCGATTCTTGAACTTTTCGTGACTTGATTCACAAGGGATCCGGCCTTTGGAACCCGATCTTTCTATAACTGAATAAGATATATTCTCTTGCAAGATATAACATCAAGTAGCCTCTTCCAGTCTAGTTAATTAATTTTCTCAGTATCCCCAGCATGCAAGTATAGTGGCCCTCAGTATCCCTAGCATGTAAGTATAGTGCCCCTCAGTAACCCTAGCATGTAAGTAATACCCTCTCAGTATCCCCTCAGTGTTCCCTAAGTATAAGAAGCATCACCTGTCCATAAGGACCCTCGTCGCTGTCCATGGCCCTGAGGGAGGCCAGCACCCTGGGGGCCGAGTTTTCCTCCACGAGTATGGATGAATCATATGGCAGGAAGACAGGCTCGTTATCATTAACATCCTCTACGAGCAACAGCAGCGACTGCGTGACGTACGTGTCGTCGCCGAGCTTGCCGTCCGTTACTGTTAGCACCAGCGTGTACTCTCCACGTTGCTGCTCAGTACAATTAATGTTATTATACGATAACTTTGTGTAATAACTTAAATTACAATAACTTGTAAAACTGTCAGCACCAGCGTGTACTCGCCACGTTGCTGCTCAGTACAATCAATGTTATTATACATTGACTATGTTTAATAACTGCTGAAATACAATAAATTATTTCATAATAAGTATGTAGAATAACTGCTAAAATACAATAAATTATTATATAAAAGTATGTTTAATAACTGCTAAAATATAATTACCTGTAAAATATACTTAATGTGTGTATACAATGACCGTTATAATACAATAACTTTGTGTAATAACTGATAAATTACAATGACTTATTATAAAATATATAACTATGTGTAATAACTGATAAACTACAATGACTTTTTATACAATAACTATGTTTAATAACTGATAAACTACAATGACTTTTTATACGATAACTATGTTTAATAACTGATAAACTACAATGACTTATTATACAATAACTATGTGTAATAACTGATAAACTACAATTACAATAACTATGTTTAATAACTGATAAACTACAATGACTTATTATACAATAACTATGTGTAATAACTGATAAACTACAATGACTTATTATACAATAACTATGAGTAATAACTGATAAAATAAAATAAAATATTATATAATAAGTATGTAGAATAACTGCTAAAATACAGTAACTTGTACAATACAATGACTTGCACAATAGAAAGACTGTTACAATACAATGACTGTTATTATCCAATAACTATATTTAATAACTGTTACAATACAATAACTGTAACAATTTAATGTGCAGCCTCATTGATCGCTATCTTGAGTAAAATTGATAGATAACAAGATTTTTCAGTCGATCTTCTTTCAGCGAAAAATTTCTGTCAAAACCATTAACCATTAACCCATCGACATCCAATCTATCTATAAAACCTAAAAAAACTTTTCACGTATGACAATTTAATACCAAACATCGTGAAGATAAAAACTTAGATTGTTTACATTTTAGAGTATTAAGTAATAATAGCAACTACTAGGGATCAGCGGAACCCATGAATGCATGAAACTCAATTACATTTTTTAATGAATTTATTTATCTTCACAAAACCAATCGAAATAGGCAATTCGTGCGAACCGATGTACAATATTCTCTGCCACCGATAACACCATACGCTTCAATATTGTCTCCATGTGTTAAAATCTTGGTCTCTAAATCCGTGGAATTATTTGAGTTTAGGGAGAAAGCATGGGAAACAATTTCTGCCCTAACCCTATTATAAACAACGCATCACCGAGCACACGTAATAATAATAATAATAATAATAGCGGTTTCAGCGTTTATTGGGCCGTAGGCCTGTCGCCGATTCTCAACAGTACCAGGATTAGAGCAGAGAACTGCGGGTTCGATCCCAGCTCTGTGCGCCAGTTTCTGGCCAGAACCGGCAAGGAGGCCGGGCGGTTAAGCAAAGCAAATTTGCAGCAGTGAGTTGCGAGTTCGAGACCGCAACAAGCTGTGAATCTTCTGCAATGTTAAGAATCGGCGACAGTCCTACGGCCTAATAAACGCTGAAACCGTTATTACCTAACAAAATTTAGAGTCGCCCCAGCTTCTGGTAGTCCTAATCAGAAGCTGCCGCGTCTGTAAATTTCCACTGGGTTATTAATAGAAAATAATTTCGTCGCCCTCACCTCGCGGTCTAGGAGGGTCTTGAGGGAGACGGTGGCGGTGTTTGGTCCCGTCTTCTCGATGTGCAGGAGCGCCTTAGCGTCCTCGCCCTGCGACCCGAACACCAGATCATCACCATCAGGATCTGACGCCTGCAACTTCGTGATCACGGATCCTGCGGGAATAGTTTATGTTATATATTAGAACTAGGATCGTCACCGTCAGGATCTGTTGCCTGCAGCTTCGTGATCACAGATCCTGCGGGAATAATTAGTGTTATATATTAGAACTAGGATCGTCGCCGCCTAGATCAGGCGCCAGCCGCTTGGTCATCACGGATCCTGCGAAAGAATTTTGCGGTAAAAATAAAAATTAGATTACATAAGTTTCATTACAATAGCGTAGGTCCTTGAGAAATTTTTTACATTGTGAGAATAGATAATTCTAAAATGCATATCATAGATCCTGTTAACAAATCGCGTTGTAGATTTAACTTAGATTCGTTCATTTCCAACCATCGATTCTACCTCGATCATTAATGACATTTCATTTCACAATAAATGCAATCAGAGCTTAAATGAGCCTGTCTCTGTCTAAATGAGCCTGTCTACGAATACAAAATCAAACCTCGAATTTTCCACCCTAATCAGAACCCGGATTCACGCCTCCTGTGCGCTCCATGTTACATCGGGAGTGCTAGGAGCAAAATTAAAGGTTTTCCCAGAATTTTAGGTGGTAAGAAGATTCCCAGTTCTGGAGGCTTCAAAAGACTTCATTAAGACGACGCTCAGTTAAACTTGGCCTCACAAAGACTCAATGACTCAGCATTTCCAGCTATTCCGTTGGTGTCGCGATGCATTTCTAGAATTTTTTAGAGTGGGCATCCAGAGGAGCAACAAAAATGCTGGAATTTGCTGCTCTTATTTTCAGGAAGGATGATTTTTTAGAGTGGGCATCCAGATTAAAGTTAGTTTAAGTTAAATTGGTCACAGAATATGATGTAATATAATATAATATAATACAATACAATATAATATAATATAACAAGGCGTGTCAAGTATGGATTAAATTTTTGTAATTTTTGATAATAATTTTCTTAAGCTGTGAGATTCATGGGTTTAGGGTAAAGTTGTTTTGAGCACAGTAAGTTCAGGTTAAAGTTAGTTTAAGTTAAATTGGTCACAGAATAAGATGTTCGTTTGTAATTTCCAAGATTTGGAAGGTTGATAATGTAATACAACTTCGTCCAGCGGATGAAGCTTTCCAGGAATGCGGAATTCGATGCTTTTTCAATCCTAGGATTTACTTTTTTTCGACAAGGGATTTGCATAAAAAAATTAATTTTTACTTTAAACTTGCAAACACAACGTAAAATATTGTAAGATTTCTTCTATATTGTTACTTACAGTATGCGCCGTTAGGGATATACAGAAGCTTTAAATCCATGTCCAAGAACGCTCTTCAAAAGATTAAAATGACCTTTAAAGAACAGCGTGTTTCACATTCAAGATTCAATTGTTTAAAACTATTTCATCTCACATCATTGAATACACTTTTGATGGCGATAAAGATTGGACGAATTTTCGGCTTTTATTCGAGTAGGGCCATATATGAAGTGTCGCGAGATCACATCTACTAAAAAAAAAAGAGTTGCATTCTCATATAAATTATTTTTAGACGGCAGCATTGTGACTTGCATCATATCAAGAATTTAACTCTACGCTCAAGTTCAAATGGAGTTTCTAAATGAAAATTTTATATGTAAATTTTTTCGAAAAATATGCTTGCAGTGTTGGCTCGATCCTGACCTCTCGCATTGAAGTTCCAGCAAACATCGATCGAAAAAAAATTCTTATAAAACAAAGAATTTTTTCTTAGCTGAGACGCGTTTCTTCTTCGGTATTCATGTGCCAAATGAACTCTCATTTTTGTTCAAATTGATGAAAATGAATGTCACGATAAGAATGAAAACGTATGATTAGCTATACGGACATTCACCCTTTTCAGTCCCACGATATATATAAGTAAGAAAAAACTTCAACGAGCCGAGGTTATTTTTAATTTAGGCGCGGACATTTTCTATGATGAGCACTGAATATTTTTTATTAACGCCACGCCGGCCAGCGGAGCAGCGTGACGGCCATGACTCAGCAAATCCTGAGTCAATTTGGCGAGTTAAAAATTTGGCGACCGGGCACCAACCCGAAGACACTGGGACACTGAAGGGACATTGTGGGACCAATGCAATGACCCGTGCTTATGTGGGACCAGTGGCCGTGTAGGACCAGTGGCCGTGTGGGACCAGTGTCCATGAGGGACCAGTGGCCATGAGGGACCAGTGGCCACGTGGGACCAGTGGCCATGAGGGACCAGTGGCCATGAGGGACCAGTGGCCATGAGGGACCAGTGGCCATGAGGGACCAGTGGCCATGAGGGACCAGTGGGGTCAGTGTCCATGTGGATCAGTGTCTATGTGGACCAGTGTCAGTGTGGACCAGTGTCCATGAGGGACCAGTGGCCGTGAGGGACCAATGGCCATGAGAGACCAGTGGCCATGAGGGACCAGTGGCCATGAAGGACCAGTGGCCATGAGGGACCAGTGTCCATGAGGGACCAGTGGCCGTGTGTTGAGGGACCAGTGGCCATGAGGGACCAGTGGTCATGAGGGACCAGTGGCCATGAGGGACCAGTGGCCGTGAGGGACCAGTGTCCATGAGGGACCAGTACGTGGTCATGAGGGACCAGTGGTCATGAGGGACCAGTGGCCCTGAGGGACCAGTGGCCATGAGGGACCAGTGTCCATGTGGACCAGTGTCCATGTGGAAAAGTGTTGATACAATGACTGGAGCGTCTGGAAAATGCAAAAGCTTCTCCATGATTGCTTACATAGGATCCCCTAGAATATTTTCACAAGGAACCAATTCTGTAGTATTATTTCTGCTTATCAACAGAAATTGCAGCTGTTTATTGAGCTTTTTATAATACGAGAACGCGCGTACATGTCTATCACGTCTAGAAAAGCTGTTGTGTGCGACGTACAGATTCAGTCAAACGGGATGTAAATCACAAACAACAGTAAACGAAGATTCGTTACCAGTAAACAAAAATTCGTTGGCTCAAAATTGCATAAAAAGAACCGGACGCCGTTATCACTTCAGGGTAAGTCCAGAGTCCACGATCAATGCGGCGTCGTAGAAGCGATAAAGAGCAGCTTGTCGTACTTTCTCGATCGTGGCTGTGATCAAACTACGAAAAATCGTGACCGCTAAAAATATCGACGCATCTTTGAAGACAAAGACAATGCAGGTAGTGAAGGAGTATAGGACTAGAGACGCAGCCCATCTAGGGAGACCTGGGGAAGAACTGGGGAAGTGCAGCCAGGGGAAGTGCAGCCTGGGGAAGTGCAGCCAGGGGAAGTGCAGCCAGGGGAAGTGCAGCCAGGGGAAGTGCAGCCAGGGGAAGTGCGGCCAGGGGAAGTGCAGCCAGGGGAAGTGCAGCCAGGGGAAGTGCAGCCAGGGGAAGTGCAGCCAGGGGAAGTGCAGCCAGGGGAAGTGCGGCCAGGGGAAGTGCAGCCTGGGGAAGTGCAGCCAGGGGAAGTGCAGCCAGGGGAAGTGCAGCCAGGGGAAGTGCAGCCAGGGGAAGTGCAGCCAGGAGAAGTGCAGCCAGGGGAAGTGCAGCCAGGGGAAGTGCAGTCAGGGGAAGTGCAGCCAGGGGAAGTAAACAACTTTAGGGATGAGTGACACGTGAAATTTCAATTTAGTTGATAGAGTCTCGTTATCATCTCGATTTATGTGCGGTTATTGAAGAAAAGATGTAGAAATGGAATAGTGAGGTGAATATTGGAATTTTTTTTTCATCCATTCGGGAAAAATCCTATTAAACAGAAAATTCAATAAGTTCGGTGCTATTCAATTCAGAGCTGAATTGTTCTATTAAGGCCACCGACATTTATATTTATATTTTAAATTATCACTCGTGACAATAAATCGTATGGAGCCAACTCCGGAAAGATATAGTCGATGAATTTATTTAGTTATATAATTTAAATTAACGTAGTTAACCGTAGTCTCCGGGAAATGCTAAGAAAGCACAAGTGTCAAGAGGGAAATTTTTATTTTAATTTACAAGGGAAAGCACTAGTGCAACATCACGACTGTTGTTCGGTTAAGATCAAATCTTCGATTTTATTGATAATGACGAAACTTTCGCGGCATAAACAACATGTGAAGCCAACCGAACCTCGTAAGGACATGGATTAACGATAAATTGAAAATAAAACTGGATAAATGAAAACTTGAAGCTTCTCGAGGAAAAGTGTGAGACGATTAACGATAAATCTCTTTTGTACTTGGATTACGCACTATATATACTAGCATTGACAATGTTAATACATATTAGAATCTTTCATCTGACATCTGGAGTTAAAGCAAAGTTGCAGTGAACATTTTTTTATTAAATCAACATTAATTCAACTTCATTTGTCACGTAGGTTCATCCTTATGATTACAGATTACTATTCTTTTCATTATTCTTTTTCATATTCTTAACGATGTAAGTAAAGTGGCAGATTGTCGGATGGTGCAAAACTTTGTTTCACTGACGTACAGCGTATTTCTCTTTAATATTTAATTTACGTTAAATTATGCTAGATTCGTCATAGCCAATTGATGAAAATTGATATTCATTGAAAAACATGGCATCTTGCAGGACAAAAAATATCAGTCCAAATTAACAACAATTTTACATGCGAAAATAAGACGGGTGAGATCAACGGTTAATTGGACGACCAAACGGTTATTATACAGCGTCGCTGTGGCCGCGTTGCCATGACGACGCAGCGGACAAGCAACAACGTCTGTAAATACCGCGACCTGATCACCATCACTTCCATCACCACCATCCATCCATCACCATCACCGCCATCCATCCATCATCGTCACCACTACCATCACCACATCAGCCTGTGCTATTACGGATTTTTTTTTATATTTATCGATTATATTATATCTATTATTAATAATTTATTCAATTTTGTGTTTTTTCATTATTACTTGGGGGGTGGGTCAAGGGGGTGGGTCAAAGGGGTGGGTCAAGGGGTGGGTCAATGGGCGAGTCAAGGGGGTNGGGTGGGTCAAGGGGGTGGGTCAAGGGGGTGGGTCAAAGAGGTGGGTCCAGGGGGGTGGGTCAAGGAGGTGGGTCAACGGGTAATTAAGTAGGTGGGTTGTGTAGGGTCACGGTGCTTAGTAAGGGATAATCAATAATATACTATATTACTATAATATTAATATGATATTTATGAATATAATAATTAATTTAGTAGCTTGATGAGAATTATATAAAAAATCACCATGATTCACGTAGAGTGCAAGGATGCGTAGGAGTACAGGTTTAAGCTCGTGTAATAAACATGCGGAGTTAAGCTTGAAAATAGACAAAAAACCGGAATTAATAAAAAGAATATAAAATATAAAAACATGTAATAAAATTTTTATTTTGTTCTGTATTGAATTAAACTGAGCACGATAGGAGATGGATTGTTATGTTGCCGCACAAGAGGGATGGGAGAGTTAACCGTGTGGGGATGGAGAGGGATGGGAGAGTTAACCGTGAGGGGGTGGAAGGGATGGGAGAGTTAACCGTGCAGGGATGGTGAGTGATGGGAAAGTTAACCGTGGGGGGAAGGAGAGGGATGGGAAAGTTAACCGTGCAGGGATGGGGGGTAGGTAATGGACTACCCGGATAGAAGCCGGCACAATTTACGCGGCTTTAAGATTGTAATGAAGTTCTTTGTGAATATATTGATGCAGCTTCTCCTTTGTTATGTTTTGTGTGAATATTAATGGCTTTACTTCTTTCTTAAAGGCTTGTAGATCAGGCAGATAACATGCAAATACTCTGACACTCAGGAATATACGGGGGAACTTGTCCAAAAATCGAGGTCATTTTGCTTATGTGAACCCCATCATCCGAATCAATCAATCAATTTTGACAGTAAATCTTAATCATACAAAGACTCGTTCAAACCCATTTTCACAACTGAATTCACTTTCAAGTCTTGTTTTGAAATTTTAAGAAAAATTTGATTTCGTTTTCTGAATAAAATTTAAAATTACCACAGATATATCTAATCATTTTCGATTATCTTTTCCTTCCCTTTAAATGACAAAACAGCCCCAGACTTGAAACAAGTAAATGCAGGAAATATGCCGAATACATGCAAGATAATCATTATCTTGACGAATGACAGGCGTCGCGAGATGACACAGCCTTACAGCAGCAATAAGTGTGTCATGCGACTAAGGCCGTAAATTGTCCCACACTCCTCCCAAAAATCCCTCGCTACTCCCTAAAGTCCCACACTACTCCCCTAAAGTCCTAAAATACTCCCCTAAAGTTCCATACTACACCCTACAGTCTCACACTACTCCCTAAAGCCTCACACTACTACCTTACAATCCCACACTACTCCCTAAACCCCAGACTTCTCCCCTCAAGTCCCACAGTACTCCCCCTAAAGTCCCACACTACTCCCCCTAAAGTTCCACACTACCCCCCTAAAGTCCCACACTACTCCCCCTAAAGTTCCACACTACTCCCATAAAGTTCCACACTACCCCCCTAAAGTCCCACACTACTCCCCCTAAAGTCCCACACTACTCCCTAAAGTCCCACACTACTCCCTTAAGTCCCACACTACCCCCCTTAAGTCCCACACTACTCCCCCTAAAGTCCCACACTACTCCCCTAAAGATCCACACTACCCCCCTAAAGTCCCACACTACTCCCTAAAGTCCCATACTACTCCCCCTAAAGTCGGTTTTAAGATAGGAATAACGAACATACAAGCCGAAATCATTTATCCAGAACTTTGGCCCAAACAAAGAGTTGGTCTTGTATACGCGAAATAAATAAGTAACAAACTCCTTTATTCGAGAAAATCAGGTTCATAATAAATATGATTTCTAAAAATATATAAAATCAATATATATATAACAAATATATATAGAATAGATATAAATACAATAAAAGTAAGGTATATAATAAATAATTTCAGAGGAGTCTTGGCATGACTTTGACGTGAGTTTCGCAGCTCAAGTATACAGCGTTTCTCTACACATGAATAAAGCTTGTATATGCCATACAGTAACTCATGCCATAATACAAGGTATGTGTCCCAGAGCCTCTTAAAGCTGCACGCAGAAAATTGCATGCGTCGAATAGTCAAAATAGTGACGCACTTTCCTACTACCAGCAAAAACTGAATGTGTAGAATTATCTAAATAGTGAAACACTTTCTTAACAACAACAAAAACTGAACGTGTTAATTTGTCAAAATAGTGACACATTTTCCTACCACCAGCAAAAACTGAAAGTGTCAATTTGTCAAAATAGTGACACACTTTCTTAACAACAGCACGAGCAGAGAGTAAATTTAGCAACGATACTCCCTTTTTGCCGGGCCAAAATGATCCAAAATTATCCACGTAAAGGTGAAAAATGTATCAGTAAAAGGACAAAGTAACACTATTTTCTTTGAGTGTCCGTCCATCTTAGACCACCATTGACCTGAAGTAGACCAGATGTTCGGCACTCTTTAACTCGTTAAACTCAAGTGGTCAAGATGAAGTTTAATGCGGAACTTGACAAGATTACGCTCTCAACTTGAGTTTGAGGCGTTGAAAGACGTCATGCATGATATTGGATTGCACCATATGTGTTTTACTGAATGATGCAGCTGTACATGAATAGATGCATTCAGCAGGGAGTTCCACTTTTATTTCCGTATATCTGCGTCAATACGAGCCCAAGGCCGAGTATTCAGCACACACATACTAGCTGAAACATTCCCAAGGAATGTTTAGGAAGACGAAACTTGCAAAAACAAATTAGAAACCAAATCATAGAGAGTAATTCACGTCCCCAATATACGAACGTTCGTTCCTGAGCATTAAATTAAACTTACCTTTAAAAATGGAACATAAAATTCATAAAATTAAATATAATGTCAATGAAAAAACATAAAGACAGAAGAACTGGCGAATTCCATAAAATAACATAACGGAAAATTATCCATGATTAATAATAAATAGTCAAGGGTAAATTAGGTGCGATTAAGGATAGAAATCAAGGGTAAATTATATGCGATTAAGGATAGTAATCAACGGCAAATTATTCCTGATTAAGGATAGAAATCAAGGGTAAATTATCTGCGATTAAGCATGAAAATCAAGGGTAAATTATTCCTGATTAAGGATAGAAATCAACGGTAAATTATCTGCGATAAATGATAGAAATCAAGGGTAAATTATTCACGATTAAGGATAGAAATCAACGGTAAATTATCTGCAATTAAATGTTGAAATTATTCACGATTAAGGGAATGAAATCAAAGGTAAATAATTATTCACGATTAAGAATATTTGACTCACCCACAGGAGTGCTCGGTCCCTCCCTCAGGTTGACGACAATTTCATTGCCTTCTTCGATCACGAACCTCGGCGGCGAGTTGGCAGAGACGCTGCAAATCATCGACCAAAAGAGCACAAAAATCCAGCAATATTTTCTTAGCGGAGGTCGGTTTGCTTTCCTCAGTTGACCGACACCGCAGGATTTCGGTTCAACCGCACGACAGGTTCGTTTCAACGGGGAATCAAATGCAGATTGGGGATCCTTTTGAGGATTGTTGCAGTTGCTTTGTGGATTGTTGCAGTTGCTTTGAAGATTGTTGCACTTGCTTTGAGGATTGTTGCACTTGCTTTGAGGATTGTTGCAGTTGTTTTGAGGATTGTTGCCGTTGCTTTGTGGATTGTTGCAGTTGTTTCGAGAATTGTAGCAGCGGAGATTGATAGCGCTGAATTTGAGCAGTTTGTGAATAAAGGAACACATGTTGAAGGTGAGAAGAAAGTTAAGAAGTGTGTCGAAGAAAGGAGCTTCGGTCGTCCGCAAAGCTGCCGACTTGAGTTGAGTGTGCGATGACGCATCAAAAGTTCTTTGATGAGGGAAACTGAGAAGATTCATCGTGTAAGAGGAAACTTCCTGTGCTAAAGAGATGCATTTGGGTCGTAACAAGCTGGGGAAAAGCGAATTAGATGAATAACTGACAGAATGAGGACTAGGAAGGCGAGGAGTAGAAATGAAGGACGATGCAGGATTACCAGCACAAGATGTAACACTGGACGAGGAACAAGTCCAGGATCTGCTCGGACATTCTGTGTAATTTAAGTGTGAGGGTAAACGTCCATCAAGAAAAGATACACAGTCAACACAAGGATAAACTGTGTGAGGTGGAAGTCTAGATTGACTCTCGCTTCCTGACGATGGCGAAGAAGGTATTGTTAAAACGCGTTTTCTGGCAATGGATTCATGTGCTTCGGTTGGATCAATCACGGCATGACACAGCAAGTTTGCATAGAGTCCATTGTCCTCGGTCGAACGAGTGCACGCGTTATGACATCCTTTGTGACCACCGTCCCATTTTCTTTTTTGTTTATTATTTATATTCGCGTAGCTTTCTAAGCACACGCGATGTTTCAAACATGACGTGCTGCTACTTGCACACAAAACATCTTGCTTCGGAGAAGGATTTAACTGTAGTGCGGTTGATGTGGAGTCATTCATTTCTAATACATAATATACACCAGTATTTGTCATCAAAATTAGCTGCTGGGAATAAGAATCATTCAAGTTTTTACTTAATCGAGATCACATCGTCACAACGGTTCTACATTCAACGTGGCACCGGTAAACACACTTATAAGTTCGAGGTTAGCACTGCACTGCTAAATTCACTAAGATCTTTACTGCTATATTCGCTTTTTTTTCCTGAAAATTCTGCGAAAAGAGAAATGAAAATGAATAATATTTCGTTCATAAACTTACATATGAGAAAGGAAGGGAAGACTAAATTATTTTGATTTTAGAGCAAAATATGCTCCAATTGCAATTTTTCTATCAGTTTTAAAACTAAAACAAATATCTTCTATCATATCTGTCAGCATTACCTTCAGATAAAAAGTACAGTGACGACTTGGATTACCTTCGAAGACAATAAAATATTAAGCAATGACACAAATTAAAATTAGAAAATTAAGATAGGAACAAAAAAAATGAGCTACAATCAAAAGTAGATAGTGAAAAAAGATAGGTAACTAGGTCATAAAGATAGGTAACTAGGTCTTAAAGATAGGTAACTAGGTAATGAAGATAGGCAACTACTGTAGATAGGTAACTAGGTACTAATAAAGATAGGTAACTAGGTAATAAAGATAGGTAACTAGGTAATAAAGATACTTAACTAGGTCATAAATATAGGTATCTTCGAATGTAAGTTAGCAAGCTGACAAAAATTCAGTAATTTGTTTTGATCAAATATGATCGGTATGAGAATCTAAATGCAATGACAGCATATGTAATAAAACCAAATCGTCACTTCCAATTCACTCGTAATAGAAACGTGCAAAATAATCATACACGGCGACTGAATAATGGCCAAATCAATTGCACAATATGGCCTGAAGACGGCCCAGTGATCTCGGTGCCCCAAGGAGCGCGCACAACCCTCCCCCTCACCCCACGGGGCCCATAGCCCGACTGCGCCCCAGCGCATCACGTCAAGTAATGCATCACAGGGAGCGTCTTGACATGACAGCACTCAGAAAAATGAACAAGTCATACTGTCCAAATAGTGACACACTTTCGGCACAAAGTGTGTCACTTCGTTTTCTGTCCCCTGCAGTTCGGCACATTTTGATGGGGGGCAAACTGGGTCAGGGTGACCCACATAGGACAAAAAGTACATAGCTACGTAGTTTGGCTCATTTTTTAGCGCATTTTTCTCATTTATGGAAAAAATGCTCTATTGTGCTCGTCATGTCAGTCCGTCTGTCTGTCCGTCCGTGACTTCACGTTTTCGTCGCTCTCTGTCACTCACTGCAGTGAGTACTGAGTTATATTTTTTAGAGTGAGCGCTTGCGTCTGCATCTTGCCTGAAACTTTTGCGTTTGACTTGCCACGACTGTGTTCACTTCAGTTCACGACACAGTATTTGTGTCGTGATTATATATATTTACAGTGTTTCATTTGCAGTATTTCTACGAATGATGGCTTTACAGTGTTGCATTTGCAGTGTAGAGCGCGATGATGGCTTTACAGTGTTGCATTTGCAGTGTAGAGCGCGATGATGGCTTTACAGTGTTTCAATTGCAGTGTAGTGCGCGATGATGGCTTTACAGTGTTGCAATTGCAGTGTAGTGCGCGATGATGGCTTTACAGTGTTGCAATTGCAGTGTTTGTGCGCGATGATGGCTTTACAGTGTTGCAATTGCAGTGTTTGTGTGCGATGATGGCATTACAGTGTTGTATTTGCAGTGTTTGTGCACGATGATGGCTTTTCAATGTTTCCATTGTAGTGTTTGTGCAGGAGTGTTCGCGTGACGATGATGGCTTTAGAATATTATGTTTGTATTGTTGGTGAAGGAGTGTTTGAGTCGCGTGCCTGGCTTCACAACGTTTTATTTGCAGTATTCGTGTCGTAATTTGGTCTTAGTTATCAGGAGGTTTTCATCGTATAATTAACGGTTCGTCGCGTACATCGCAGCGTTTTTTTTCACACGCGTCCTCGGCTCGGCCGGTTATCTAGCACGCGGTGCGCGTGAGAGGAACAGCGCCTGGGAACAGCGCGTGGGTACAGCGCGTGGGAACAGTGGGAACAGCGCGTGGGGACAGCGCGTGGGAACAGCGGGTCGGAACAGCGCGTGGGAACAGCACGTGGGAACAGCGCGTGGGGACAGCGCGTGGGAACAGCGCGTGGGAACAGCATGTGGGGACAGAACGTGGGAACAGAACGTGGGAACAGCGCGTGGGAACAGCGCGTGGGAACAGCGAGTGGGAACAGCACGTGGGAACAGCGCGTGGGGACAGCGCGTGGCGACAGCGCGTGGGGACAGCGCGTGGGGACAGCGCGTGGGAACAGCGCGTGGGAACAACAGCACGTGGGAACAGCGCGTGAGAACAGCGAATGGGAACAGCGAGTGGGAACAACAGCGCGTGGGCGGGAACAGCGCGTGAGAACAGCGCTTGGGGACAGTAGGAACAGCGTGCGGGAACAGCGCGTGGGAACAGCGCGTGGGGACAGCGCGTAGGAACGGCACGTGGGAACAGCGCGTGGGAACAGCGAGAGGGAACAGCGCCTGGGAACAACAGCGCGTGGGAACAACAGCACGTGGGAACAGCGCGTGGGAACAGCGCGTGGGAACAGCATGTGGGAACCGCGTGGGAACAGCACGTGGGAACAGCGCATGGGAACAGCAAGTGGGAACAGCGCATGGGAACAGCGCGTGGGGACAGCACGTAGGAACAGCACGTAGGAACAGCGCGTGGGAACAGAGCGTGAGAGGAACAGCGCGTGGGAGCAGCGCGTGGGAACAGCGCGTGGGAGCAGCGCATGGGAACAGCGCGTGGGAACAACGCGTGGGAACAGCATGTAGGAACAGTGCGTGGGAACAGCACGTGGGAACAGCACGTGGGAACAGCATGCAGGTGTCACAGGGAGGTGCAGGTGTCACATATCCATTACATATTTAAATATTTCAAATTCGAGTGAATATAACTATGAATATAATATGAATTTTAGTTCAAAATAGACCTGTAAAACAACTGCATATGGACACGAGTTAATTTTAAATGATTATTTACGATGCTCACGTATAATGAACTATTGTTTTGGTGAAATTCATAGTAACAAAAATTGACATAACAATTTTGTCGCAGGGAGAAATCGCAATCTATTAGCAAAATAGGAGTAGAGAGAAAATAGTTATCACGAGTGAAATAAAATCTCTGCTGGAATTAGAAAAGCAATTAAAGGTTCCCAAGTAGAGTATATCAATTAGAAATTAAATAATATAGGAATTACTAGATTGAGAATTTGAACGGAATTTTCAGTGGTCAGACGTAGGTTTCTGATACCTCCGTTCGGATTTAGTACGTGGTGCATTGCATTAACTGGGAATTATGAGTCTCATCGATGTAATTTATGAAAATTATTCTACCCTGACAGGTACGAAATGTAGTGTAGATTTTTCGCTAACATTTGGGCGGTCTCAGACCCCTCGAGCAGACAAAGCGATTCAGAAACATTGACCGAATTTAATTATTTAATTTACAAAATTAAAAAAAAAATTAAACCTATCATTTCAATTCCTTGCTTAATCTTCCACCTATCAGTCATCTGACGTTGAAATGAAGACGTTGTATAAAGATTTTTCACCAAAATCAACTCGTAATCAACTTTGTTTCAACCTAATTTCATGATAAAAATCCATATTAGCTTCTTGTGTCTTTATGATATCCTTGAAAGATAACTTATTGATGATTGATCCTTAGACAAAATGTTCTAATGCATATCCCTGACGAAGAAGGACTCGACAAGGCAATCAAGTCCGACATTTAGAACAAGAGAACAGGAAGAACAATTCCCACCGTGACATCGGGAATGGGAATCACCTCGTAAAGCTCGAAGTTTCGCTCAAACTCGACACGCAATCCAGACCTTAAATATATGAACGTCAAGCCAACGTAAGATATAACTTAAATTATTTATATATTAGGGTTAGATAGAGAAGAACTGAATAAAATATAAGTTAAAACAATGAAAAATCCTCGCATAATCCTTGAAACAATACATTGAAAACTGATGAATTCGTGAAGGAATTCAGTCTCTGAAGAAATTAAAGTTTCAAGCAAAAATTAAAGCAACAAAATGTTAAAGAACAATTTATTCCTTTCATTCATGCAAATGTATCAGTCATTCAGCTCTATTTCTCTGCAGTGATGCCCGCTGCCTGTGCAGTGATGCCCGCTGCCTGTGCAGTGATGCCCGCTGCCTGCGCAGTGATGCCCGCTGCCTGTGCAGTGCTGCCTGCTGCCTGTGCAGTGATGCCTGCTGCCTGTGCAGTGATGCCCGCTGCCTGTGCAGTGCTGCCTGCTGCCTGTGCAGTGATGCCTGCTGCCTGTGCAGTGCTGCCTGCTGCCTGCGCAGTGATGCCCGCTGCCTGAGCAGTGCTGGACGTCGTTGAAGGGATCTGAAGAGAGAACATTATAATTTATATTGATGATAAAAATTGTAAATTTTAATGGAGCAGTAAAAATGACTAGCGTAGATTTTAAATTAAAGAAACTATACTCAAGATACGCCAGTTATTTAAAATTTTAGGATGACAGGAAAGTTTTGCTCGAGAAAATTCGAAAATTCAGAAAAAAATTATCTAAATACCCTGTCAACTGATGCAAAAAAAAATCAGAACAAATTGTTTTATTTTGTAATATTTTTTTTAATTTTCATGACTAAACCATCTTAATGGCAACGACAGCTTTTTCCTTAATTGAGAAAATGTAGATAATTTTGACTCAAGAATGACAACATTGAACGAAATCTTAATCATCTAACAAGAAGCATTGAAAAGACTATAGGCATAAAAAATATAATACGTAAGTAAAGATAAAATGGCACATGCATAAATGAATGAGACGGCCAAGATAGAAGCGTCATAAATATTCAGTGAAAAACATTAGGATTGAACTCGATAAAAATTGAACTCCTCTAAAAAAATAATTCCTTTGAAAAATTGAACTCCTGTGAAAAATTGAACTCCTGTGAAAAATTGAACTCCTTTGAAAAATTGAACTCCTTTGAAAAATTGAACTCTTGTGAAAAATTGAACTCCTTTGAATAATTGAACTCCTTTGATGAATTGAACTCTTGTGAAAAATTGAACTCCTTTGAATAATTGAACTCTTTTGAAAAATTGGACTCCTGCACCGTAATACAAAAGCAAAAGCATTAACTCATAAACCATAGCAAACAAACAAAAGCACATGAAATCACTTGCATTCTTCTAATTTAATGTAAAAAAGTCTGGCGCTTAGAAACTTTTTTACTAATTAAAATAAGGCAGAGGTGCGTACGATGACATGCGTATCATGATTGGGTGCAGCGCATGATTAGGCGCGTGAGCCGCCGTGCATGTCTACAATATTAAGCTGCGCATGTCTTCAATATTCAGCTGCGCAGGTCTTCAATATTCAGCTGCGCATGTCTTCAATATTCAGCTGCGCATGTCTTCAATATTCAGCTGCGCATGTCTTCAATATTCAGCTGCGCATGTCTTCAATATTCAGCTGCGCATGTCTTCAATATTCAGCTGCGCATGTCTTCAATATTCAGCTGCGCATGTCTTCAATATTCAGCTGCGCATGTCTTCAGTATTCAGCAGCGCATGACTTCAGTATTCAGCTGCGCATGTCTTCAATATTCAGGAGAAAGAAAACTGTATTGCAGACATGAAAAATCACACAGAAACAGGCCGTTCTTTCTCCATGAGTAGAAACGGTCACGCACTGCAATGAATTCATGAATAAAACATATGAATAATTCGTGAGGCGCGGAGCATAGTTTCGGTGTTGTCGTCATGCATGAATATTTATTCGGGTTGAATATATAAGTAAAAAGAAAATAAAAGTTATTGATAAAAGTTGAATAAAACTTAATTCTATTTAAAAAAGTATTGCTGTTGAGAAAATAGTTTTATTCAGACACAATATGAGAGACATTCAGTTAAAATATGTGCAGTACTAGGTATTGAAATGCCATAGAACAAAACCGAAGAATAAGCATTTCTTTAATTAAATAGAAACAGCAGAAAGATGAAATTTCTGTATCTACGAAAAATAGACGAAAACGCCAACTAAAATCGAATTAAAAAAAACGAACACACGCACGACAAATGCATGAAATTCACGAATAAAATAAAAAAATTCAATAATTCGAAACACCAAATAAAATACCAATGAAGATCGAACGGCAGGAGTGAAACTTTAAGAGCTTAAGAAAATCTTTCAATAAACACTGTATACCTCAACAAATGAATCGTAAATTGGACTAAAGGCCTTTCAAGACGCTGAAAAAGACGCAGTCCTACAAAGCATGAGTTTTCCCACAGACTCAACATTATCATCAACGACGCATGCTAGCAGGTTCTCATGATTTCCCGCAAATGCATTCAACTGATCTTTGTACATAATTCATAGGCTTGTAACTCCCACAATAACAAACGGTCTTCCTTTTACTTTCTGTGGCGCAATGAGTGACCGCATGCGTTATTGATGCACCGATAATATAATGGCAGTTCGTTTTACGCTCAGCGATGACGGCGATGGAATGTATTATTAGTTGTTAGTTATTTTAGGCTGCAAAAAACAGCGGAACAACACAAACAGCGAAAAAAGACGACAGCATAAACAGCGAACAGTGGGCAAACAACAACGAAATAGCACAAACAGCGAATATTGGGCAAACAACAACGGAACAGCACTAAAAAAAGGCGAAAAAAGATAATTTGTTTTTTATTAACTCAGATACCATTCGCAAAGAACATATAATTACAACATTTTATCATCTAGTTTATTAATTATATCTGTACAAAAGGCGAAAAAATATAACTCAGTACTCACTGCAGTGAGTGACAGAGAGCGCATTTTCTCGTCGACGAAAACTTGAGGTCACGGACAGACGGACGGACGGACAGACAGACAGATAGACAGACGGACATGGCGAGCACAATAGTGCATTTTTTCCATAAATGAGAAAATGCGCTAAAAAGATAATTTGTTTTTTAATAACTCAGATACCGTTCGTAAAGAACATATAATTACAACATTTTTATCGTCTAGTTTATTAGTTATATCTGTACAAAAGGCGAAAAAATATAATTTGTTTTTTAGTAACTCAGATACCGTGCGCAAAGAACATATAATTACAAAATTTTTATCATCTAGTTCATTAATTATATCTGTTATGTTCGTTGAAGCCCTCATATAGCTTTGAAAGTATCGAGAATACTGGATGAATATAGAGAGCAAAGTGTTGAATCTTGAATAGCTATGCAGGATCTACCCGATCTCAGTTCGCAATTCCGGTGTTCACAACGAGTTAAACTCTTCTGCTTTGATCTGACTCCAAAAGATCTTGATTTAATAATTAGTCAGTCGTCAGTGATACAAAACTGATTTACACTAATTATTACTTTATTTCACTCAAAATTATCAAGCTCCCAAAAGGTTATTAAATCGTAATTCTGGCCAGTGTTATACGGTTATTTTAGTGCGGCGCACTTTAATGGCGCACCGTCATGACGCACCGTCATGGCGCACCGTCATGGCGCACCGTCATGGCGCAGCGTCATGACGCACCGTCATGGCGCACCGTCATGGCGCAGCGTCATGGCGCAGCGTCATGACGCACCTTCATGGCGCACCGTCATGGCGCAGCGTCATGACGCACCGTCATGGCGCACCGTCATGGCGCACCGTCATGGCGCAGCGTCATGACGCACCGTCATGGCGCACCGTCATGGCGCACCGTCATGACGCACCGTCATGACGCACCGTCATGGCACAATAGTGCATTTTTTTCATGACGGTGCGTCATGACGGTGCGCCATGACGGTGCGTCATGACGGTGCGTCATGACGGTGCGCTATTATCGAGGTTATTAATGTCATTCGCGAAGTTAAAATTTTAACATCGTAAAAATCGATTTAGACTGGAAATAAGAGCTACGGGCGGTAAACTGGCTACGAAAACGCACTGACACCGAAATTTCGAGCGAACAAAGAAATATTGGGCTATCAAATATCTAGCATAATTTCTACCACACAAACTCCAAAATACAAACAAATGAAATCTCACACAAAGTGAATTGATATCTAGTGCTTTGTATATTTTTTATTGACTGCGAATCTGGAAGATTTTTATTTAAATCTTTGTTTAGGAATAAATTTATAATCAAAGCACATCCAGTAAATTATATAAAATACTGTGTAATATAAATATTATGTTATATAATTGTTATTAATATTATAAATTTTGCAATGCAGTGATGCAAAACGTATACCGTTAATTGGAGTACCTATTTATCTTGTAACTTTTATTCCAAATTGCACACTAGAGGACTAAATACATGACGTTTGATAACCCTTTTAACCCCAAGGTTTAGCGACCTCACGGGATAATTTTAAGGGGTCACGCAACCCCTGCAGGGTCAGGGGTTACGAACAAGGGTTCAGGTTGCAGTTAGATCACGTACGCGACCAGGTACATGATTTAGAACTACTCGCCATAAAAAGGAATTGATTCCATAATAACTACAGAAATGGACATTTCTCAGTTAACTATTTAACGTGATTGTTAATACTAATAAACAATGAAATTTTGGATATGGGAATTTCTCACTCAACTATTTAACGTGATTGTTAATACTCATAAATTATGAAATTTTGGATATGAAAATTTCTCAGTTAACTATTTAACGTGATTGTTAATACTCATAAATTTTGAGGCAATGGAAACGGATATTTCTCAGTTACCTATTTAACGTTGTTATTTATTTGCCTATTTTCAATAACGTTATTTAATCATATTAAGAAGAGGCAAAGCTGCGTTTTTAATGCGATCGAAGCTCGAATGAACAACGCTTGTCGGTAAATGAAAGGCTAGTTTATGCATCACTATTTATCTTTATAATGCATTGACGGGAAATTTTAACCACAACGGCTAACAGAACAATTCTAAGACTAGTTTTTTTTATACTATAATGAGATAATGACGTAACTTTCAGATATTACTAAGCTCCATATGATATATTCTTGTTCATATTTGAGTTGAAGAATATCGAGACATCGTTGTGTCAAACAACTTAATATAAAGCCTACTTACCTTGAACTAATCCCGATAATCCTTTTGATGTAACATGAACTTAAGACCGTCGATCGTAGAAATTTATATAACTACGGTTCAATGAACCCATATTCGAAATATATTACAAATCACAAGTTTCCGCGTTGGAAAGTTTCTATAAAAGCTAATTTTTAAATTTTACAATCACACCAGCCAATTTTATATCTAACAATACCGATAAATTTTTCAGTTTACGACACATCCAAAACCAAATTTTTTACTTGCAACCACACACGTAATTTCTTAACTTTATAACCCCACAAGTAAATTTTTATCTTTACAAAAAATTTTTTAATCATTTAGTATACAATCCCACCAACCAATTATTACGTTTACTACCACACTAGCCTTTTTTTACTTTAAAATCACAAGTGCCAATTGAATCTGGACAGAGCGAAATTTTACCTTACAATCACAATTTTAAAGCCAATTTTTTTTTATTTTAAAGCCAAATTATCACCCACTACCAAATTTTACAAAGAAAGTTCTTACTTTACAACCACGCCAGCCAACTGAAGTAGAAATTGCAAGATTCTCGCAGGAATTCGCGAGGATACAGCGTACGGTTTATTCGGCTGCGCGGAAATTGGAGTCCTGAAAATAAAGGAGTTCGAGGAGAGCACGTACGGCGGAAGCTGGAACTCGTGATGAGGATACGAGGGGAGGTCAGGGTGGTGACGAGGGGAGGTCAGGGTGGTGACGAGGGGAGGTCAGGGTGGTGACGAGGGGAGGTCAGGGTGGTGACGAGGGGAGGTCAGGGTGGTAACGTGGGGAGGTCAGGGTGGTGACGAGGGGAGGTCAGGGTGGTGACGAGGGGAGGTTCAATAATCAATGATCATGCCCTACAGAAAGCGAATAATCAGCGACCTTTGAGAACTGATTTTTAAACAATGAAAATCGACCTCGCAAATCGACTTATTACTTCCTTGAGTTTAACGCTTCACGTCAGTGGCTCGTAATGCCCGATAACGCGTCTTGCACTAACGAATTATTAATAAATGGTATTATTCTAATTTTGCAGGTAACGAAGGATATCTAAAAACAACTAACATAAATCACAACTGCTGACAGTTGTAAACGTTCAGACTTTAATTCTCATGTCGTTTAGAGGGAGCCCATTGAAGACCGTATGTAGCGCAATATTATGACACACTTCGTGTCGTTAATTTGTATGAGCATTTCTTCCTTTACCTCAACTATACTTTGCTTGCAGTTTCGACTTAAAAATTAAAAAAATATAACTCAGTACTCACCGTCGTGAGTGACAGAGAGCGCATTTTCTCGTCGACGAAAAAGTGAAATCACGGACGGACAGACAGACGGACGGACAGACAGACAGACGGACAGACAGACAGACATACGGACGGACGGACATGGCGAGCACAATAGTGCATTTTTTCATATATGTGAAAATGCGCTAAAAATATCACAGACTCTAACGTCAGACGAAATTTCTTGTAAAGTGAGTTGGAATAAAGTGAATGGGAAAGCGTTTAGAGCGCGAAAGTTTATTTCTCGCCCGTCAACATGACCAAGAAAGCAGCCGAGATCGAAAGCTTAGCTGCTTCTTGCAAATGCCTCGCATGCCCTCGCTTTCGCTGCGGCGAAATGACGATTTAATTAGGGCGTCCATAAAAACCACCGTCAAGATGACTCTTTAATAAGAGCGCCCTTTTAAAACAAGCGTAAAGATGACTTTAACAAGAGCGTCCTTTGAACACAAACGTATAAACATGACGATTTAATTTGGGCGTCAATAAAACCCACAATCAAGATGACTTTTTAACTAGAGCGCCCTTTGAAAACAAACTTATATATGACTGACTCTTTAATGAGAGCAGGCGCTATCAGATCAGCTTATTCACTTTCACGGCGTCTCACGCTAGTGACCACAAGCAAGGAAAGATCTCTCCGTATTTCACATTTAACCTGTCGAAGAAGTTAGTGCTCATCAGAAAAAATAGATAAATAGCATTCTAATTAAATTAAGAAGCATCTGCTTTAATATCTCTCTTCTAATTAGAGCAAATTATTAGTGCATGGCAATCAGATAATAGGTACGGATTTATAGGTACTGTAATAAGACATTCATAATAATTCATGTTATTATTTCACAATTTTACAAATTCACAATTCTACAAATAAATATAATAGCATCCCTTGCCGTACTTGGACACAGCGATCTCGTCACGACTCGACGACAGGTCAAAATTGTATTCATTAAAATAAATAAAAATGTGAGAGAAGGCCTGTACAAGAGCTCTTACAAGAGCTGTACAAGAGCTCTTACAAGAGCTGTACAAGAGCTCATCAAAGCTCTTATTTCAAATCAAAAAGTGAATATGCTTTGTTATATGACAATCATAATTCGAAGGTGTCAATAAATATTCGAAAACGATCTTGTTAGTATTGGAAAACAACTGAAGACTCTCATGAGAGTGAAGATAACACGGACAAATATATGTTCCCTTGTTAAGAATAATGACCAGAGCAGGGTGATGAGGTAACGAAAAGTTACCTGCGCTTAAAAGGTCATAAATAAAATATAACAACCACATAACAGGTCGTTAAACGCAAACCGACGTGCTTCTTCCGGCACGCCTACACAATCTGAAGACCGCGGCGAACGCAACAGGAAACCGTGAGAGTTTTCGTGGGAAAAAACTTAAAGTTATGAAGGGATTTGACTGCACGTCGACGAAGCTAAACCGAAAGTCATGGAAACAATTCCCAAGTCAGCAGCGATGAATTGTCGAAACATGTCGGGAATTTTCAAATTGAGGTCTTTTAATCTCATGGGCAGCAGGGAACTTCATTCGATCAGGGACATTTTGTGCTACCGCAGACGTTTGTGTCTCTGCCGGATCTCGTTTTTTCAATTTCAAAATCACTGTAATTTGAAAATCTTTGCAAGAAAACAGGATAGGTTTGCAGCCACAATTGCCTTCAAGCAGCTATTATTGACGTAGAAATGAAGAGACGGTGGGAAATTTGGTAAAGAAAGGTGGCGAATTTCATATTTGTTGTTTTTAGCGCATTTTCTCATTTGTGGAAAAAAGGCGCTATTGTGCTCATGTCCGTCTGTCTGTCCGTGACTTCAAGTTTTCGTCGACGAGAAAATGCGCTCTCTGTCACTTACTGCAATGGGTACTGAATTATATTTTTTTAATAATGGTGTCAAAACCAATTTGACGTTCAGTGCCGATACCTAAGCCGGAAAATTTATCCTTACACAGATCCCATAATCCTAATCTTTGGCATCACACACGCAATTTCTTCACAAACTATCAATTCTTATCAATTTCACTATTAAGTCTATTTACTTCGCATGTGCTCCTCTCGGACACCACTCCAAGTTCTCAAAAATACTCTGCAAACTATATACTTTGACCACTTCTCATATTACTTCTGATAAACATCACACCCAAAATTAACAGACCAGGGCCCATACTTTCAAAAAAATGTTAAGAGATCGTAAGTCCAGCAGCCAATCATTGACGGCCACGCAAGCAAAATCCACCAATCATAGACAAGAAAATAGAGCGTAAGTACTTACGTTCACTTGGCGAGTTT